AAAGAAATCTGTTTTAAGATAAGTTAAAGTCATTACTTACGCAACATAAACTATTTAGCTAAAATTATATCCTGTGTCTATTAAACTTCGATGTGCATACGTTATTTTTATCTCTGTATGTCACATTACAGCAAAACAATTTGAGTACCTGTAAGAGAAGATGCTGGGGGGGTTTTCCACAAAAGAAATAAACTCTTCTTATATTGCAGGGATTTCTCGCTCCACTTTTGATCTTCGGGTGTTGTTGTCTACAAAAACATTGATTAGCACTTAACTTTTTTCCCCATTATACTCGTTATATTTTATCTTGATGTTTGCTACAATAATTTGACCTATTTTTATCTTGGTAGCTAAAATTTTCCTGGATTGCTTTATTAGCATAAAATCCTAATTTGTGATGTTATTATATACCTGCAGTAAGGTATGAAAACACCCGAAACTATTGCTGAAGACTTTTTTCATTCCATTTCTTCGAATGTAAAAAAACCTCATATCTTATATTGTTAGATGGATTTAAAAAAATTGGCTTAATTTTCTCACTGTCTTTTAAAAATGGAATTTCAAACCAGGATGTATGTGCAAAACAGGCAGAGTGTTTAGCTGGAATTGTGACCTAGACAGAAGGTGGGAGAGTTCATGACCACTGTGTATTTAGCTATTTCTGTGTTTTTGATTTTATGACATAAAAAGGAAGAAGTATCTGTTTGGAAGCAGATTTCCTATTTTTCAGTTTCCAGTATGCATTTTTAATTCTATGGAGCATTCAACAACTTATCCCTGACACCACATCTTCTACTCTGCACTAATAAAAACAACAGCCTGCTTCAGGTTGCTTAGAAAAAAAAAAGGCATTTTCCCCTGTCTCCTGAATTCTACAATTTCTGACAACAGCCACCTGTTTTCTGTACTTCAGAAAAGCTGATCAAGTGTGAAAGCCCTGGAGGGGACCTGTCCTGTCTGTTCCCTCACCACCTACAACAACCCCAGTCACCAGGAACAGCGAAACAGCAGCTCAGCCTGAGCAGGAGAGGGGAACCAGGGCATGGCAGGGATGCTCCCTGATAGCCTGGAAATGGGAGCATTAGGGAATGGAATTGCTGGATTGAAAGCTGTGTTTTACAGGCTTGCAAGCAGAGTTATCCCTCCACCTAAATCAGCTGTGTATCTCACTGAGAGGTGTCACTGCAAGCACAGCTTCAGCTTGGCATTTTGCTAATGATATTCCTCTATAATAAGCTTGTCTGCCTCTGATCTCACACTTTCTGCCTCTCAAAATCCTTCTTTCCAAGTCCTGTCATTGAAAGGGGCGTCAGGAATCGCTGAGCTCCAACCTGAAACACGGAATCAATCTGTCACTGAGCAAATCAGATAATCTGTGTGGGGCTCTTTGGAGTGTGTGCAGGTAATAATTCTGTCATATATTAGACTTAGTGGATATACAGAATTGCTTATTGTTTAAACCGTGCTTTTATGGGAAGAAGCTTAAGTAAATATTTAACAGCTTTACCAGTCATGTCTTTCTGTGTTCAGGATGGGCTATTATTCAGCCCTTCCTTCCAGCAGTTGCCCTTTCTCCAATGTCCCTGTCCAGCCCCCTTTCACTGAAAAGAAGTGTAGTTGACTTTAGTTGACTTTCTATTCCCACTAAACAGTTTCTGATCCAGAAATCATGAGAATTTGACAAACTGCTTGGCTGTGTGATTCCAGACAGACAGCATCTGGAGTTGTTTTAACAGTCAGGATTCATTCCCTAAACCTATATATCCATTTCCATTAATTCAGTCGTTTGATAAAAACAATGATGAAATAACCTTGAGGCATCATGAAACAAAACCAGGGAATGTAACAAATCCTGCTTGGGTTTTTTTCCTGCTCTTGGGATGAAAAATAACCCTGCTTATGCTAATGGCACCCTCTTGTCCCTTTTACAGGTTTTATCTTTTATTTTTCTGCCTTTTTAAACCAGAAATTCTATCTAGGATTTACTGTGCAAGACAGAAATCACCTGCCAGGAGACAGAATTTTCCAGGCTCAGGAGCATCATTTCCGTGGTGTGGCTCACAATAACAGCACGTATTTGACACGGGGAGAGCAGAGTATGTGGCTGTGAAAACTGAAGTCTGCTCTGGCAGCTGTGACAGTGATTTAGTCTGGCAGGTTGGAGACTCTCTCAGTTGGCAACACGTAGATGAGATGCCTACAGGAATTAGAGGAGATCTGGGGACTGGCAGTGCCACATACACACAACAAGGCTCCTCACCTACTCATTATCAACCACAGCTCTTCGTTTCCAAACATGTCCACTGAATAACAATCCGTGCACTTCAAACTTGGGGGTGTATCCACTCTCTTGCTCTTTTCTCCTCTGGAACAATCTCCTCTCTTTGCCATCACTTTGATTGCTGACAATGGAATAGGGCTTGTGGGGCTTGGTGGCCTCAGAGCATCGAGATGAGGTGCTTGGAGGGGACGCTTTCAAACACTATTTTTAACCCCCTTTTTCCCATGTGGTATTTTGTTATAGTTGTTTAATTCAAAAATTAAAAGCTCAGATTTGAGGCAAGCTGAAATCAAGAGCAATCCAGTGTCTCAGTCTTCTACAAAGGTATTGATTCACTGTCATTTTTGTCGTATCTTTATCTTTTTCCATTTATTGTGCTTTGCTCCATCTCAGCTAAACCACCAACTTGCATCAGCACTTTTCTTGTGCTGAAAAATTTCCTTTCATCTTCTGATTATCTTTATGGACACATTTTATCTATGCTTTGCTGTATTTTATATTGACATCGAGGTTGCCAGCAGTGTGCAATTAATAAACCTGAAGATAAATCAAAGAACTTGTTCACTGGGTGGATTTCCTCAAATACATTTCCTGTTCAATTCTCTGTGTTTTCCAATGACTTGATAAATTGCTCTGGTTGATTACACTTGCTGGTATCTCACATACTCTCTGTTTTTTATACATTTAGTGGTCAAACTGTTTTCTTTCCTGCTTAGCTTTTCTTAAAAGCAAAGTGACAGGTTTTCAGAGCTTTTATGCAATAATGAATTATTGGGAGAAATGTTTTCTGCTTGTTTCCACAGGAATAAGTTATGTTGGACTTGGAAACAGAACCAGGAGGATCTAGTTAACCATTCTTGTAACGTGTTCCTGAGTGTGCAAAATGAAACTCTTTCTGAGGGAAAACCAAACCCTGTTGAGCTGGTTGTTGCTGGAAAAGCCATCCCAGTACATCCACTTAGTGATCACCTTGGCAGGAGTGGAAGCTGAGAGGAAAATAGAGTAGGGGAGGGAATTCCTTCAGTGCTTTAATAATAGAAAGATTACCCACAGTATTAAACAGATGACATACTAATATCAAATAGAACTTGTCTTTGAAGTTTAAACTTTTCTAAAATAGAATGACTGTGGCTAATTGTCCAGAATTTGTTCGGGAAAAAAAGATGAATTTTTCTCATCTGCAGCAATTTATTTTGTGTCACTGTTTAGTCTTGATCTTGATCTTCCAGCCCACACTGATCATGATGCTTTAGGCATGATATGTTTACAACAACAACAACATTAATTCTGTCCCTAATATTCAAAATCAGTTTTGTCTAAGTTCTCAGTGAGCTCATTGAGATAACAAAGTGCTTCATTCCTTGTAAGTCGCCCTCCAAGCTGGAGGCAAGGGCTTGATTTATTTCTGAGTGAACTTTGACAGGGAGAATGTCTGGCAGAGAAGGCATCGTGCTCAGTGCCAGCTGTAAGTGGTCCAAACCACTTCACCAAGTGTTTGTTTTTACTTTGCTTGACTTCCACAGAATCCCATTTCACAAGCTTGTTATTGGTCAGTATATTTTCCTTTTTGGAGTTGAAAATTGTTATTTCTAGTACAAATATCTATGTTAGCATCCCTCAGGATAGTGTATTCTTTGCAGTTCTTTATTCTCTGTTTTGAGGAAGCAGTTTAACAAAAAAAAATTAACATGTGATGTTCATGATCAGTCATCCTCCGTAACACAAGCATAGTTGGAATTAATAGTGGGCAATCAGTTCAAATTCTGAGAGCTGATTTTGTTTTAATGCTCATTAAATTCTTTCATGTGCTACATCCTGTTGGGGCTGCAAGAAATCTGGGTCCGATTCAGCATGTTTGACACTTTCTGTGTGAATTTGAATTATTTAATGTCTTTGAGCTGAGATATCTTTGTGCTTGTTACCTGGTCTAAGTAGGGAATTGGCTTGGTGATAAAAGGACTGAGACGCGGATGAAGGAATGTGGATAAAGGTTTGGAAACCTTTAATTAGATTCAACCCTTCTCCCCTCTTCAGAATTAGAACAATGGATGAAAACCCAGTCAGAACTGTTAAATAGGAAGCACTGTTGCTGGCTGGAGCCTCTGAACCAGAACAGCTGTTCCTACATGCCTGTTCTCTTCTCAGGTTCCTCCCTAAGCAGCCACTGAGAGCAGGAGAACCACATCCCTGCTCTGACCTGGTTCAACTCTTCCCATGTGACATTCCATGTGGGACAGCTGCTCTCCAACAATAGCAGGGGTCAGGAAGGAACTTTCCTGCAAAAGCCTGTCAGCCAGGCCATGTAGGACTGTACACCATGTTCCCAGCCCAGGTGAAAGGGGAGTTCTGCTCAGGGGAAGGGATTCCAGGCAGGTAGAGAGGCTCACACAGACCTGGAGCAGTGGGAATGCCATGGACAGGCACAGGGAGGGGACAGGGCACTATCAGGGACTCCCTGATAGACCTTGGCACTCAGCACATGGGGGTTCTTTTTGCCTTTCCCTCAGGGACTTAGTCAGACCCGAGTGTTTGGGTGACAGCAGAGGTTGTGGGTGCCCTCTGTGTGTTCTGAACAAAGTCCCCTGTTGTTCAGTGTCCAGCCAGGCATCCACAACCACCCCGTCCCTTCAGCCAGTGCCACTCAGGCTGTGTGACCTCACGGTTGTGTTTGCAGAGCTGACAGCACACAGCATCACTTTATCTTCTTCTTTCCCCTCAGAATTATGGGTTGGAGACTGAAAACCTGAGGACTCTGTCTCACAAGCTGAATGCCTCAGCCAAAAACCTTCAGAACTTCATCACGGGTAGGAGGAGGAGCGGCCACTACGACGGCAGAGCCTCCAGACGGCTGCCAAATGATTTCCTTACCTCTGTAGTTGACCTGATTGGTGCTGCCAAGAACTTGCTCGCCTGGCTGGACAGGTAATTAACTGCTCCTTGACCCCTTACACGTGAGAATAATTCTTTGGGGAGTTTTGCATTTGTTCTTTCTTTGCCTCTTATGCTCTTTTATTCTAATATTCAAATGGCGGGTCTGGAATTTTGGCTCTAAATTTTATTTTACAGATTTCTCAAATATCGGAGGCAAAATTTAGTCCCCTTGTCTTTCAGGAAGGTGTTAATGTTTGCTCTTTCAGCTGGATTTTGTGTGAAATGAATACTTCTCTGCCATTCCAAGGTGACATCTCACTGCTGCAAGTGGCAATGCCACTGGAAATTTCAGAGTGAAGGGCAAGGAAGAAAAGCTTGTAGAGTCTGAACTATCTTTCAGCCATGGAGAAGACACAAAAACCTGGAGCTGAGCAAGTCAATTAAGAATATTCAAAATAAATTACAGTACTTGCTTAGTCTGAAAATTAAATTTTCATATTAGAGTTTTTGTCAAGAGTAGGCTTGATGTGTTAGATACAGTTGTGTTGGTTAATGTTCAGCAATCAACCACTGTTTTTTTAAATTTAGGAATTAAGAATTTGATTAAAAGTATCTCTCTGACTGTGGCAAGACAGAAAGCAAAACATAAAATAGCATCAGAGCATTTAAGGTTTGTTTTTCTTTGAAGGTACAGCAGTGAATAGCGTTATCTTGAATCTGAATGCTCTGGAACGTATAAATGGCACCTTAAAAATCACAGTGAGAGTGAATCACCCTCCTTTACAGGATTTGTATAATCCTGGTGACATCTTCCTAACCTAATGCCAGCAGTCATATTCTCTCAGGCTGTGACCTTGTCAGTTCTTGTGAATTCTAATGGGGTCAGATTCAGCTGGAGTTTGGAAAGCCTGAAGACAATCCGAGCGTGCAGGAAGCTGTTAGTGACTAAGTAAGCATTGCTTTGCTCCCTGAAAGCAGGTGCTGATTGCTGCTGAAGAGTGATGTCATGCTGCAAAAGCCATGTTTTTAATGAGCAGTACAAAGGGAATCTGGGCTGCTTAGAGTTATTTGGAAAATCCTATTTCTACTCTCCATAAGAATGAAAAATTCTGGTGTTCTGGCCAAAATCCAGTTTACATCCTGCCTACGTTTTGTTGTGTTTCAAAGGCATATATTACAAAAGTTTTGTGACTTACTTCTGGAGATTATAATTTGATGTTCCATTTTTCTGTGGTGTAAAACTGATCTCTATATGAAATACATCTGCTTATGCTGTAATCAGAAGTTAAAACCTCTAATGCTGTATCAACCTGTCCTTCCCCTGTCACAGGTCTCCGTTTGTCAGCGTGACAGAATATTCACTGCTGAAAAACAACATTGTCCAACTGTGCCTGGAACTCACAACCATTGTGCAACAGGTAGGAGGGGTTGTCTTCTGCTCTGAGTCCTCTTCACAGCTCTGCTGAAAAACTGCAATAGTAAAAACAGCTGAGAATTTACATCCCCAGAAAAGCTGTTATAGCATATATTCCCATTCCCTGGGAGTGACAGGAAAAATTTTGGGCTTTGGTGATCCTCATATTCCTGGAGAGATTGAAGGACAGTGTGAAGCTAATCCACTTTGCTGTTGAGTAGACAATTTCGTGTCAGGTTATCTCCCACCATGCAATGTTACACAAAAAGCCACAGTGGGAAACAGCTTAACTGCTGCTAACAGGTTATTGCAGATTAAAATATGAATGATCCAGAATCTTTCAGGGACAAGGTCTTAAAATACATACAAATATATCCTGAACCTGTACTGTGGCTTCTTCACTGAAAGGAGAGCCAGTTACAGGGAAGTTGTTTAGTGATGAACGTTAAATATTCATAACATTAAACAACCCAAATAAGGAACGAATAAGGGTAGTAGTATTATCATCACTGGCATTAATTAATGCCACAGTCCACAGGTACATGAAATTAATCTATCTGGTCTGCAGTTCTATATGGTATAAAAATAAAAATAGTCTCTAACAGTGTCTGCCCCTGAAGTAAGACAAGGGGTGACACACAGGTACAGAAAGACTGAGTGTAAATTAGTTTTACAAATATTTACAGCGAGCTTCTCCCCCTGTGAGTGAATACAAATATCAATGAGACATAATAGTGTTATTGGAATACGTGGAGAGGACAGGAATGGGCAGGACTGTCTTGGAATGAAGCAAAACAGAAAGATGGAAGAGTTGTAGTGGGGGAGACAAGAATAAAGCTTAGCTAAAGCTCGACTCTGTGAGGACCTTAAGCTGGCCCTGCCTCCAGTCCAGAGGACTCCTCTGCCTCTGTCCTGTGCTGGCACAGTTTTCTGTGTAACCTCACAGCAGACCAACCATAGAACTCATTTCATTTCAGAAGCTTTTTGGAGTAGGAACATTCTGAAAACTTTTATTTTCCCCCTCGTCTTCCAATTTATTTCAGTTCTTGGAGAAAAAGAACTAAGGCTGATAAATATGCCATTATATTTTGCACTACTATCCTTAATTTATAGTATTCAGCTTTATTCCTTTTGGAAACTGTGTCCTTTATGCATTTTTGCAGGGCAAGACAATGATCCTTTTTCTCTTTTCTTAGTTTAAAAATTCCTATGTCGGCATTTAATTATTTATGTATCTTTATTAAGCTTTCTCTTACAAGGTGTTTATAGCACGAGGCTATTTTTGATTTACAGACTAAGCAAAAAGACCTTCTCTACAGTATAAAAAGTTTGGATTCTGATTCCACCCTTCGGCTGATATTGCACTTTGTTTGTGTGAGTTTGATTTTTCCCTGTGGTCTGGGTGAAAAAAAGTGTAATTTTGGATTGCTGTCTCCATTTCTGTCATTCATGTCCCTGCTTTTGGCAGGTGAAATTCTGTTCTCCTCTGCCAGCAATAGTTTGGTTCTTTATTTTTTCCAGTTCTTCAGCTCCAGTCCCAAAGCTGTCCTTCTTTTGACAACTTAAGACCAATCTTTTAGCATAAAGTCCAAGATCTTCCAAGATGAAAAATGCTCAATTAGTACTTCAGCTTGGCTACAAATCAAGTTTTGTCTTTGCCTTATCTTCTTGTCAGATCTGGGTTGTTTGATAGATGTCTATTAAGACCTTTTTACAGTGTATTAAACTTAGCATCAGACAGAGCTGATAAAACCAACTCAGTCATAGAGAGACAGTTTTGCTGTTACTAAAGCTGAAGAAAATTGATCTTAACGTGTGAAAGCAGAAATGTGTCACCTAAGCCAGAATTGCAGTCTCAACTGCAGGCTGAAATATGAATTGAAAGGCATAACTAATACAAACCTAGGTCTCAGATCCTTTCAGATAATCCCTGTTTTATGAATTATATGCATTTTAAACACCTAATTCAGCCAGTGTGAAAGCAGCAGTCGAGGCTACCCATTTGGCACATTAAGTGAGGAATGGCTTCAACGTGTAGAGTTGTTTTGTGCAAAATGAACAGGCTTTGTGTGCATAACTCACAGCTGCCACTCCAGGTGAACTTCCTTCTAAACTGGGGACGTGACTCTGGAACCTTAGTTTAACATAGATATTGCTTATGAATCTTCATGTACTTGACAATGTGAGTGACACACCCTTAGATCTAAGCAGACAGTAGCTTTTTTTGGCTTCTAGGTCATATTCTTTCTCTGGGTGAGTGTGAAGATGAGATCATTCAAAAATTTTATTTTTATGTATTATTATTTATATACCATGTAAATGCTATGATGAATAGTCACTTGTTTATCTGTAAACAGCATCTTCTCATACTGGTTATGAGAAAACTAATATTTATTCTCTTATTTTAGGGGAGTTTTATAGCTCTATTAAGTACTTCATTTATGCTTGGAAATGTAATTTATTCTACTCAGTTTTCTCAACCCTTTTGATCACCTCCCCTAAACTACTATAGAAGAATAACACATGCAGAAAACTGCAGAGACATCCTGATTTTGAGGTGCAATGTCCCATCAAAATGTGTTTATAATAGTATGCAAAAAAGCATGTTAGAACAGAGTATTGAAACTTTTCAGCTCTCAGTTGGATTAATTTTGAAATATAGCTCCAGTTTCAAGGCACACTTTTTGCTCTGAAAAGGAATCCACCAGACTAACTTCCCTGAATTTGGATTTGCTCCTGCTTTAGCACCAAGACTTCCCCGAGGGAAAGTCAACTGGAATAACTGGGACAAAATAGGTTTCCATTTTTGTTCATAAAATGTAGCCATTGGTTAATATTTTGTTGAGTAGAAAGAGTTCACTAGTTCTAGTGAAAGTTGGATTTCTAAACATTTTTTCCTGATCGTGTCAACGATGTTTAAACCTGGGATAGATGCTTTTGATACACCATTAACCTGCATGAACAAACTCCCAACAAAAAGTGTATTTCCAAAGTATGTCAGCACAACTCAGCCCAACTTTTTTCCAACAAAAGCCAAACAAAATTTTGCCTGTTCTTTATTAATATTTAATTAACCTCACTGAGATAAATTCAGAGACGGTATCATGAATTTTTACCCAGTTTTTAGTCAAATACTGTGTGTTTAGGATGAAGGGTTTTTTAGAGCTGTCTTGTTTACCCTGCAACTGATAGAAATTGTTGTTTCTTAGTAGTTTCCTGTACGTGGTGTAACTTTTAAATCAGCCTCCCCTGAGCAGGTACTTGGACCAGATAACCTCCAGAGGTCCCTTCCACCCGAATTATCCTGTGATTCAGCAACTGCCATGAAAAATGTGGGTGCTATTTTCAGGTTGAACTTTGCAGACTTCAGCTTTCAGCCCCTCGATCTTATTTTGCTTGCATTTGCTAAAGAACATGTTGTTATCTAACATCTGTTCACTCTTTTCTAAATATAGATCATGATCAAGTCTCTACCTTAATTAATTCAGGTAAAATAAGTTGCTTTGGTGCATTTACCATTGTTATCTTTGCCTAATTTCAGAGTAATCTCTTTCTTTTTAATGGGAGAATTTCAGAAGTGTTTCATTTTATGTGTGTAAGCAATATATCTTTAAATATCACTCTGTCATATCCACCCCTCCAAGGCTGATGTAGGACTTTACTGCAGTGTTATATTGGGAAATGCCATTCAACTGGCAAACACCACAAAGTTTTAAGTTCCCTTCCAAGCTGCTGCTTTATAGGGTCTCTGTTTCTTTTTTGTAGTCGACTTAACTCATGCTGCTTTATTGTACTAAGTTAATGAACTAAGTATTTTACATATTTTTATGTGTAGTTAACTGTCCTCAAGACTTGCAATCAAACATTTTTTATGGTGTCTGCAAATTTCTGTAGTACTTGCAGTTTTTTCTTTCGGAATTAGAAATTATAATTTTGAACACAGTGTGGGTGAGCACAAGTCCTCCTGACCTTTTCTCTTCATGAATATTCAAAAAGAGCTGTTTCACTTTATCAGAGTGATGAAGGTGCACTGTACCTTTGAAAGGTAGGGTGTTCAGGACAGAGCAGAACTTGGCTTGTTTGCAGTACTGCTGCTGTGACTGGTTTTGTAATTCCTGTATTTTATCCTTTTGCAGAGGGGAAATAGAACACAGCTTCTAATTTTTTTACAATTGTTTTAAAAGTCTGAGAAGAAATATTTTTATCGTGTCATCTTGTTCCTGGAGGATGCAGAAAGAATATGACCATAACTGTTATTTATTTTCTAAGAAAAATAGATCAACATTCTATAAATGGTAGCCCTGGAAGATTATTTTTTAATGAGATCCCTAGTGCATTGCTATGTATCAGAGAGAAGTAAATCAGAAGAATATTGTGACCTACATATCTTAATGTCTTAGTATAATATTGCAAGTGCTTTTAACCTCTCAGTTAAACTAGTCTGATGTATTTAAAAGAAAAAAAGTCAATATGCATCTATTTTGGAAGGAATCCCAAAGCCATTAACATTTTTCATGCTAATGTAATCTTGAATGTGCAACATAAGTACAGCTAACATTAATTCTGCTCTACAAAACAGTAAAATTTCAGTTTTACTACACATAAGTCTTCTATTCTTTGACCTGAAGTAATTAAGTTTGCTCAGAATGAAGCTCATATTGTATTTCTAGTGCAGAAATTAAAGGAATAATTTAGAAAGGAACATTAGCTCTGAAGTCAAGCTGGAAGCCCTGCTGTGATCATTTTGTTCTCTTGGTGCAGGGAGGGTTAAAAGGAGATGGCGAATGTGCTGTTTGAAGTGTGTAAAACTTGTAGGAAAAACTGCCTTGGGCATTGTCAACCAAACTGAGTAATTGAATTCTTTTTTGTGCTCTAGAAAATAACAGTATGAATACAGAAGAAACATCAAAGGGATACTTGACCATGAAATGCTAATATAAATTCTTCTGTGTTCCTCGGCGCTCACGATCTCCTGATTTTAACTTTCTTGTTCCGTAGCAATTTTCTTTAAGCTGCATTCACTTAGAAATTAATTTCTCCACAGAAGCACCAAAACAAAAATTGACTTTAGAGCTGAGGGTGTGACAGTTCCCTGTGCCTGGGCTGAGGGCTCGGATAGACTGAGGCTGCTCTGCAGTGGCCTCAGGTGGGCTCAGGGACAACATCCTCAAAGTGGCACCCAAGGAAGAAGGTTTGGGAGCTGGATAAGGATTTGGGATGCTGGACAAGGGGAGCAGAGAACTGCCAGGCAGTTCCCATTCCTTTGACAGAGAGTGTCCAGCCCAAACTGACCATACACTGACCTGCTTCTGGAGTGCACAGAGTGAACATATTGGAATTGTGTCATAGGAAGGTGAAGCAATTAACTGTTATTGCTAATATATTAAAATCCAGGAAAGAGGAAATCTTGAGAACTAGGGAATCCTAAGTTACTTAAAGGGATCTTTCAGGTATATGACACTTAAATTTTACTTGAAAACTTATTCACGGAAATAAAACCCAATAAATGAGACAGGTTTTTTGACTTGTTGTATCCTCATCCTTAAAAACACATTCTGAAATCCATATCTGGCTTTGTACAAAGCTTTTTCCAATGTGGCACAGCCCTTGGAGAAGTATTTAACAATTTCCCAGCATAATTTGTGCTTTTAGCCATTAATTCACTTAAATGTAAATAATCTGTGCCAGTGTAGCATTACAAACAAGATCCCTGTGCCAAACACGTCCCCGGTGGGATGAGGCTCCTGCCCTCAGCGCATCGCTCCTTCTCTCCCTCCCAGGGTCTGGGACTCCCACCAACCACTGGGATAGGGGTCAGCCTTCCTGGGATACCTCAGGAATTTTTTCTCCTTGGATTTTGTGACAGAAATTCCCTCTTTGCTGACAGATGGGAGCTGCTGGTGCTCCCCGGGTAGGGCAGAGGGAGCCTGACCGGGGCTGGGGCTGCTGTCAGAGGGCACCGAGGTTCTGAGGGGCTCTATCTTCATTTCACCCTGCCTGGAAGAGTTATTTTCTCTATTTCCCTTTTTATTTTCCATTTTACTAAAGTATAGCTTGAGATTTGAAGTGGTGACTGGCAGGAGGAGGTGGGGGAGAGCTGCCTCAGTTAATCTGGGCTCTCTCTTGTAGGGACAGTCAAATGCCACCCTGCCATGGCTGTGCCCTGATTTCCAGAGGGCTGTACTGGGGGACTTGTCAAACATTAATAAGCAATAGAGGCAGCAGATCTCTTTTAACAGTTTGTATGGTTGTTTGATGGAGGAAAATCAACGTTCTAGCCTCTGTAATATCACTGTATCAAAAGCCAAGGTAAGGGTGTGGTGATGCTGAAGTTATGGACTGGTAAGATTGATTATTCTTAATATTATAACTAAAATAGGAAAATGATTATTTCAAAAGTTACAACTTTTAAGCTAACTAAGAGGTTCATCAGGGATATTTAAGGAATAGTTAACAGCATAAAGCCTTCTTTTATTTCTTTTAGGAAAGAAATTTCTTTAGCAGAAAATTTAATGTGATGTTCATTAATTGGTTTTGTTCTGTTTTACCACAGGATTGTACAGTATATGAAACAGAAAATAAAATTCTTCATGTGGTGAGTAATTCTGCTTTGATATTCTCTAATCTTACCCTGCATGCTTTAATGATTAAAAAAAAAAACAGACTACTCTAGGAAAATTAAATTCCTTATTATTTGACTTAATTTCTGACCAATTGTATCAGTGGCTAAAAGCCAAAGTTCTCTGCAGGATTGCTGTCTGTTATACCTACAGTTAATTGCATACATAATCATTGTTCTTAGGTTGTTTTGGAGGGTTCACAGTATTCTTACCAGTGTTATAGTCTTACTGGGGTTGCTGGTGTGGAATTCCAGCCCTCAGAGCCACAGCCCTGGTGCATCACTGGTTGTCAGACTGAGCACTTTGTGCCTTCAATGCTCAAAAAATCTGGTGACAAAGGGGAACGGAAGAATCTTATTCAAGATTATTGATTAGATACCGGCCTTTAACTTCAAATACTTTGTATATTCCTGATACCAGCACTGAAAACCTGTCCTGACACTGAGATAGAGTTAAAGCCTGTGGTGAAAGGGAACTCTCAAAGGATTTACAAGTTCAGATAAGCTTTTGACAAGCTCTGCCCAAGTGCCTGACTCGTTTTTTTTTTTAATCTTTTACACATACTCTGCTTCCAGCAGGGATTAAAATTTTTCATAAAACATTGATGTGCTGTTAAATTCAGAAAGCATGCAGTGACTTTCAGGGGGAAAAAAAAAAAAAGCTTACTATTGCAAACCTGGGTCTGCAAAGAACTTTTAAAAGCACCTGATATCTTTTGGAATTTGGAATGCATGTATATACATACATGCACACACATATATATACATCTTTTAGTCCACAATTCTAACTGAGTAGGACTTCTAGAAATACCCTTTTAGCAGGAATGTTACTTTTGACTTTTCTGCGTGTTCTGAATGGAAGCCTACAAAGATAGAAAAGAGAAAAGCTTCCATTTTTAAGTATTCCATAGGCTCAGCAGTGAAACTGTGATAAACCTTGAGGAGCCTGGATCCCAAGACAATAGAACTCCTTTTAACCTGAGCAAAATCACCTGAAACAACCTGAGCATCTCAGAGAATCCAGGCTCTGAGAATCAACCCCTTTAGCATTGTAACTCTTGGTGAAATGAGAAGAATCACTCTTTTTCTCACACCATCTTAAAAGCAAAAATTACTTAAAGGATACTGAATTCAAGAATAAGATTTGTGAACTGTTCTTTTTTTTTTTATGGTCATTTTATTCCTAAAAATCAAACCCAAAGTTATAGAAAATACTCAAGAAAAATAATTGTGGTGCTGTAAAGTAAAATTTTACAGTTGTAAGAGATAGAATCTCTGACTTCTAAACACCACATGGCATTTGTTTTATTTCTGAAAGATATTGAGAAAGATACACTTAGAACTCAAAAGAGATTTGTAAAGTTATGATCCATGATTGATTTTCTTCATTGGTTACTGGAGGTGCAGATTTGCCTGGCAGAGCTCCAGGGCAGGATGTGCTCAGGAGATGTGATTGCAGGTGCACAGTTCCCATTCCCTCACTAGTCCCACGATTAGGCTGTGTCTGCTCTGCCACCCAGGCATTAGGGGAAAAGCTAAATTATGCAGGAGTGATCACTTTGGGGTCACTTGAACTGCATGTCTGAGAGCCAGGTTTCCTTTTCTTGGAATACCTCTTTGGATACCTGTGCAGCCAAATGTGGTTATCAGGACTACATCAGTTCTTTAGGCTGCTATAATATACCTGAGATAATTAAAAACTGTAACCTGTCAGTTGTTCTTTCTGTCAGCAGTAAATACAGATTATTCACTTACTCCATTGCACCACCCCAGCAGTGGCTGCCACACTAAAAGTAATGAGTTCTGATGTAAAAGTTTGCATAACTTGTTCAAGACTTAGTGGTTTCCTAAAGATTCTGTTCTTGTCATGGCCCACTGAAAGAAATGTAATAAATGGGTTTAGGTGTTGGATGGCCTGTAAAACGTGTGGGAAGTTCCTCTGCAACTGAACTTCTTGAAGAAACCATTTTTGTTTGAGATGTTCCTAAGTTCACTTGGCTTCTCCGTGGGTTTGTAACTAGTACACAAGACTTTGGTCCCTTCTGGTATTTTTATGCCAAAAATACCTCAGCATATGGTAATGTGTCCTCTGATATTGCCAGTGCCACACCAAACAGTGCTTCCTGAGCCTGTGGTTTATTCATAAACTCTGCTCTGTTGCTCCCATTTATACAGTCTCAGCATTATTTGCATTATTTACAGCTGGTTTCAGGCCCCTATTGAACTACTTTAACAGCAAACTGGTATTTTTAATTAGTCTAATACAATTTTTTAAAATATTTTCCGACATAGATTTTTGTTGACTTTTGGAATCATGAGGAGACTCTCAAGATTCCCAGAATTAATTTCATAGAATCATATGATCATAAATGGTTTGGGCAGGAAGGGACCTTAAAGATCATCTCATTCCAGCCCCCTGCCATGGGCAGGGACACTTTCCATCAGACCAGGCTGCTTTGATTGAAAAGTTCTTTGTTATTTCCTTCCTGAAAAAGTATTTGCATGAGACAACTCTGAGGTTTTATAACATTGCATCGGAAAATAGAAAGTGTTCTCTCTGGGATTTACTCTGCATCTAGTCTGTACATATGCCCTTGAATTTTAAGGCATAAGAGAGGTTTCAGTTGGAAATCATAGTAATATTTTGATAGACCAGTAATCCAAAAGCTGGGTGAAAGGCTGTGCTCACAGACAGGGGCAGCCACCAGTTCCTCTGTGGAAGGGGCAGCACTGTCCATTTTTTGAGCCAACCAGTTTCTCCATCTCAGGTGGGAGAAGATAGGACCTAAAGTTCTGTTTCAGGGCTCTGGCCCAAAGCTGAACTGTTTGAAATAATTCTGTTCCTGGTGACCTTTAGCTGCAGCCACACACACCCGAATGGGGTGCTTTGCATCCTGCAGCTGCTGCAAAATGCAGATGCCACGTCCAGGACTCCAGAGCTGCCCTTGGATTTCCACATGAGTAACTGCACAGTGAATGGAAACACGGCCTATAAATTCAGGCAGTTAACTTATTCATTGTGACAACTTTATTTGTTTAACTTATATGTATAGTGTCAAATGAGATATTAGAAAGCCTCATGCTTTTGCAAATGCCTGAAATAAAACTTCCCTTAAGGGATTTCACTAGACTTTTCTATAATTAGGAAAATGTGAGAGTATAGTCCCCAAAGGAAAATACATGCACAGCTTCAACTGGAAACCCACTCTGAAATTCATCTAAACGAATGCTTTCATATTAGGTTCAAGCATTTTTAGGTAGAGTCGTTTTGAAGGAATGCTTTAAGCAACACATGGAAATTTGGGAATAAATCTTTACACATGAATGTTCTCTGCAACAGCTCAGCTCCTTTCTGATCCTTGGACTTTGCCTTTGATGGATGAGTTTAATCTGTCAGACCCACTGTCACCATCTATGCAATGGGCCATGCAAGGTGTTTGTGTGGATTGGCATTTAGATTTTGAGATCTTTAGCTGGAAGGCAGGATAAAAAATATTTATTGCATAGTTGGAGTGATCTGGAATATCAGTTAAAGGATGTGTTCAAAGATGCATAAGAATTTTACTTCAGGAAATGGATTAACTAAGGCACTTCTCTGTCAGTGTAATTTTTAACAAAGGAAAAATTTTCCAAGTTGTAGAGCAGAATTCACTTCATTTTCACAGTTGGTAGGGATGATCTCATCATTTGGGAGCCAAAATAGGTTATTCAGTTGGTGTGTAAGACATTTCTTTTTACATATTTCACTTGAATTCCATTGTATTCAGAATCATACATTACAAAGACAGATAAAATAGAGCTCATTGGATTTGGGGTTTTTTTTGAAGTGCACATAGTTGGAGTGGAGAAGATATTTTAGAGATACAGATGTTCTCAGTGCACAGTGAAACCTTTTCAGCAGAACTGTACATACATGTACATTTGCTTGACATTTAACGGATGTTTTCTGGTCCCTTTACCTCTTGTTCTTGACTTTCGTACCCCTGTAGTTTTTAGGGTGCTGAGAATTAAAATGGTCTGTTTATTCTCAGTTAGGATAAGAATTTTGCTGGTAGTTTTCAGTTTAATACAAGGAATCACATTGACTTGTTTTTCTTCGTAGTGTAAAACCTTGTCTGGGATTTGTGACCACATCATTTCTCTCTCATCTGATTCTCTGGTGTCACAGTCAGCACATCTCGAGGTAGTTCATCTCACCAGCATCATGCCCAGTGAGGGGCTGGTAAGTAGCAAAGCAGTTTAAAGTTTAACTCTTAGAATACACAACACAAGCCTCAGTTCCTCAGGGTGATTTGTTTTTTGAATTTATCAAGAAATCAAAATGTATTTTTAAGCAGTGTTCTTTTTTAGTAAGCTGAATGAAATTTCTAAAGGTAATTTAATTGACATTTAGCTGAATAAAGGGATTGTATTTTATATTTTTTAATAAAAACCTGTTTTATCCAGGGCTTCATATGCAACTGGTGACTGTATGAGCAGCTAAAGAAAAGTTCTGGTCCTTTGATAGCCATATTGCAGCTTTTGGAATGTACTGAAATAATCCCAAATACAAAGACATACAAACAAAATTAACTAAATGTCCTTAATGAAATGAATGACATTTAACCATTTGAACAACATCTAATCATTTGAAAATGATCAGGGAAAGGTTTTTTTCCTGGACTTGCATAAAAATAGTTCCATGATCAGTTGAAACAAACTTTCAGAAGTAGCAGCCCAGAAGCAAAATAAATCCCTTTAGTTTGTAAATTGTTCACTGAGCAGCCTGGTCAGGTGTCCCCTGCACATCCCAGCTGCTCTGTGTTAGTGATGGGTCACAGCACCGAAATGTTCTGCAGAGATGAGTTTCAGAATTATTTAGCTACAGCTTTTAAATATTCATGGGCTGTATTTTTTTTAGACAATGAATTTTTGTGAAGTTTTAGTGCTCAGTTGGCAAAGGTTTCTGTCTCCCCTCAATAGTCCCTCACTTTACAACCATTCATTCTGATGCTGGTGGGCTGTAGGAGGATAAGGGTTGTGCTTGGAAACCTAAGATCCTAATGAAAGCTGGAATTTAAGGTGGCCCTGCAGTCACTGGGATGTTCTTGCATGTTCTCCTCAAGAGCCAGGCTGCTTTTCCCAGTACAAACTCTTAGACTGTCTTCAGCTGCCTCCTCAGAAGTTTTTTAATTTCTTCCTTTTCCCTACAAGAGGAATGTTCATTCTGGAGGAAGCAGTTGGAGGAGGAAAAAAGGGAGGAGGGGGCAGAGAAGTTGGCATCTATAAGGCTTATCTGCAGAAAATTCCATAACTGACAAATTCAGATCCATTTGAGTGCCACTGTACACAGTGTGGCACATTTCCTGCTTGTAATTCAGTGTGATTTACAGATTTATTTTAAATTTCTGCCAGTTGAGACGTTTTGTATTATTTGAACATCTTCCTCTTTGTTCTGACATTGAATAGTGACGAACATCATATGCAAATCCTGTCAAAGTTACAAAGGCATAATTATTCTGAGGTATGCATATTAATTTGGGAATGATGTATTTTAACAACACGTGGGTGAGGTTGTGTGACTGCACAAATTTACTTTATTCTTAGACTGGTTTAGTCAATAAAGAACATTCCCAAGCATAAAGCACATTTCATTTTCATTCTGTGCCATCGCAGATGCTCAGCCCAGTGTGTAATCCTGAACATGGGCATAATTTACTTGCTGTGCTGCTGCATCCTAATGGCCAAACATGTTCCTTTTATGGCTCAGTTTCCCCTCTAGCCCCGATTTCTGGGTTAGTGCAGGGGTATCCAGGAAATACAGGTCGGTATTTGCAGCTCCTGAGGTAAATATGCTGTAAATCTCAGTGGTTTTGACTTGCATTAAGAGTCCCACACCCAGCACTCTGCCTCTCTGGATGCCTTTCCTTTCTGTGCACAGATGTGATGTATTTCTGCTGGACTAATTAGAGGAAAGTTTGTTATCAGTGCTGAAGAGAACATGAACACAGAGTGGATGTATTTTCCTCAGAGATGATGGAGCACAATAAGCAGGGCTTGGCACTGCTGGTGCTTCCCATCCAGTGGTGGCTTCAGATCTAGGACGGGGTGGAGGCTGGGGAAGGACAGGAGTGGAACCAACTCCAAAAATAATGTGTCCTATGGGAAATATAAAATGTAATGGTGTGCAGGCTGAGACAGGGGTCTGCCAGGAGTCTTTGGGTGTGACAGGTTTGTGTTCTAATCAACTGACCATAAAGTGTTGGAGTGTGATTTAAACCTTTAAAGCAGGAGTGACCACGGTGAGAGATGTTGACTGTGCTGGTGTGGCCTGTTGTGTGGTTCACATTCTTCCTAGATCCCCCTTTTCTCTGGCAGAACATCCCCTGTGCTGTGCTGATGGTGAGGGCTGGATGGACTCTCTCCAGGTGGAAGAACCACTGTGTAGTTCTCCACCCTCAGTAAGCCAACAACAGGGCAGTGAGTGGGCACTGCTGACAGAGGACAGGAGACAAACACTGCAATCAAAATTGCCTGACAATTTATCTTTTTTTCCCCCCTTTTTTTCCCTTAGATGAAGTGAAATCACAGTGAATGACTGAGTTTTCTGTGCCTAATTGTGAAGGCTCTGTAACGTGTTAGGTTGAAAAGTTCCTTGTACTCAGTTTTGCTGACGCTGTGTTCTGTTTAGAAGAAAATATGAAAAAGGACTATAAATGGGAATAAAAGAAAAATCATGTGAAAAGGAAAAGAAAACATTAATCAGAATCAAATATAGAACACAGTAATGAATTACAAATGGCTTTCTCATGATTGTATAGCAGATTTTTTTCCACAGGATCTCTGCTCCATTCAAAAGAAAAATGAGCACTATTCAGTGAATGGAAAGTATTCAGAGTTCCATTTTTATCCTTATCATTCAGTGTAGGGGTTGAGGCCTGATTTACCACACTTCAGCTAAGCTCTGCATTCCCTGGAGTTACTAATTTCATCGTGAGTTGGTTTATCTATTTTTTATATGGCCTTACTGAGTGCTTCACAGACACTAATTAATTCATCCTCCCAACACGCTTGTGAAAAGGATACTGTAATTTGAGTTTTACAGGTAGGAATCTAACACAGCAATTTGTGTCAAAATCACCAAAAATCTACTTTTCAAGAGCAGCTTAGTGTACAATTTTTCAGAACATTTGTTACCTTCAAAGCATAGTTTAAAACAGTCTCTCTTGGGTTTAAATGTAGCTAAGATTTCCACAGCTCCTGAGAACAGGGTTCACACAGGGTTGGCACCTAGAAAATGAACACAATTGTTCACCACTGGTGAAAAATGGGTTGTAAATGACTCAGATTTATGCAAATTTGGTTATCTGGGGTGATATTCAGTTGACTTAATTATGAGGTTTTCACTATTTTCAAAACTCCATTTGCAAAATTTTTATTATGTGCCTTTTAATTCTACACCAAACGAGCCAGGAATCCTATGAACATTGCACAGCCTCCCACATAAAGGGAATTAATTTCCAGGTCCAAGTCCATGTGGTTCCTGCACGGAGTCAGGACTCCTGTGGAGCAGTGTCTGTGTGTTTAATTGTGTAAATAAATTCGGGATCACAAAGCATTTTCACAAAGGGACTTTAAGTCTTTGGGATGTGTATCTTCAGTTTGAGCACTTCTGACTTTCTGTTCGTGCTTTTACGACCTTAAAGTCAACTTTTTTCCCCCCCTCTATAAAATACCTTCCTTTCCAGTTTGCTTTACTAAAACACAACCTTATCTCCTGCCTTGCCCCTCTCTGCTGGCATTTTCATGGCAGTTTGCTGGGCAAAAGGATCTGCACTGGGAAACACAGGCTGCAGGTTCCGTTCCAAGCCCTGATGGCTGTGTTTGCATCCTGATCTCTGCAGGCATTTGTTGGCCTCCAAGAACACACTGGGTTTTTTTCCCTCTGTCTTCCCATCCCTTCCCAAGCTGTACCAGTTCCTTCTTTTCCCCGTTTAGCCACTGAATCGTCCATGGCAAATAATTTTCTATTTCATTTTAAAGTCACTTTAAAGACTGTAAACCACTTTTTCTCCTGGACAGTAGTAGTGGGTATGGTCATACCATTTATATCCGAAGTGATCAGCCTGAATAAGGTGTCTGGAAGGCAAAGCTTTGTTTTAAACTGTCAATTTGACAAATTTCAAGTAAATTCCTGTACTAAAAAGGTGTTAGATTGTGAGAACCACTGTTAACTCTGACAGAGCATGCACACTTAAGTTTGTAGGAAATATAATAGAATAAAATCATGATTTATGAAAGTTCCTTTCCCACTTAAAGTTTCTTGGCATCATGGATCCACATTAAGAAACAAGCCCTTGAGTCAGGAGTTTGTGTTACTGTTGGCAGCTCCTGAGCTTGCTGCTAAATTGGAGGGTGAGAGGAGGTGAAAGGCTGTGAGAACCTCACCATCAATCACCTCAGACCCAGGCCAGAGCCAGCTGTGGAGCACTTTTAACATTAGATAAACAGGCAGTGTTTTATTTGAGATGTTGGATATAGAGATTTTTCCATAGGATGGGATCACTGAACGCTTTTTGAGGTTTGGGGCTTTTTTCCTCTCCTGCTCTTGGATGATCAGGGATTGTCTGGAGTGGGAGATTATTTTTATTTTTTTTTTGTATCACAGCCAGTATTATTTTGGACTAAACTTTTTTTTTTAATCGTCTGAACTTGATGTACTGTCCATATATTTAAAGATACTTCTGTGTAACATGCAGCTTTAATCTGCTTTGATGAGATTAATGATTCCTCTTACGCAGGAGATTCTAAACAGGGGGGCAGTTGGGGTTTTATGGTTTGGGTTTGTATCTTCTGATGTCTGAGGAATGTTTTGCTTCTTTCCTTCTGGAACGCAGGAGCACTTTTATTCCTCTTCCGTTCACTTACTTAGTTGTTCTCTCTTTTGTCTGAGCTTCCTACTGCTGATAGAAACAGTGTAATCTGACACAATTTAATTATGATGTACACTTATATCCATGGCTTCATTAACTTTTCTGCAGAGAGAACTTTTCCTGTTTCATTTTTAAGAATTTAAGGAAAGCAAAGATTGTGGGAATAAACATTTTCATAAAACCAGCTGTGTATCATTGGGAAAAAAATCCAACAAACAGATTTTTAATGCAGTGTTTTGTCATATTCCAGCAAATAACTGGTATGCAAACATGAATCATCTGATAATAGTTCATTGATACCCAAGAATGAATAATGGCCAACAGTTGGAAGTGTTGGAAGAGCTAACCAGAAATGCTCATCCTAGGAGAGTTTATTCTTGCTAAATTCAGAACTCTTCAAGTGTTGTCTGAAATATCCACAAATTAACCTGGGAATAAACGCTGTCACTTAAAAATACACTGCTGTCATTATATCCTGGTTAATTAACCAGATGACTCTGCAAGAAATTTTTCAAGGAAATTCCCCTGACAAATGGATAGGCTGTTTTCTGGGGAAAAGTCTCTTCAAAATGGGATTTTGAATGGCTGATGCCTCCCCATATGCTTTCAAAGGTCAGATTTTAATTAAAAACTTTTAATTCACTTTGTCACTAGGGGACAGCGACAGAGTTACTCAGGAAGAGTCAGGTTCTTGATGTGATGCCTGTGAAACACTTCCTTATTCTGTAATACCTTTCATAGATCAGCATCATTCTTCAGAGTTTCCTGTCTGAGGACTATCGTAATTATTATTAAAGAGCAACTGTTTATTTCTAACCCACTAATTGTCAACGAATCTGAGCCACCTCCGCAGTGTGAGGGATAATCCTCCACCCTTGCCCAGAGATAAGGGGTCTAACTTGTCATTGTTCTGTGCTCTGAGACCATCAGTGGAATTCCAGAAGAAACCAGAGGGAATAAAACCCCATTCTTTAAAAAAAGGGGAGATGAGTAATTTTGAAAAGGGACTCCAGTAAAAGCCTCCTTCTAAGGGCAGAAAATAGACCAGTATGTTATGGGGACTGAAGAGGTAAAAGGACTTAACTGAGGGGGGGAGATGGAGGAATGTGGGAGACAACAGGAAAAAAAACTCATTTCCCACTGAGGGTCTCCCACCCAGAGCCTAATGGATTCCAAGATTTCAGAAGTTCCTTTGTTTATGTGCTTTTTGTCTGTGAAAGCCACTGACAAAAGGTTCTTCTTGTTTAGTCTTAGCCCGGTGTTTTTGCTATTTTATGACTGAAACCGATGAAATAATTTGCAAGCAGTTTGTGTAAAAAGTTATATGAGAATAATTAGTTTACAAGAGAGTATCTTAATTTCCATCAGACTTTATAACAGAAATGGTTGGGATCAAAATAGCAGATATGTGGATGCTCTTTTAATTAATTACTGTACAAGTTAATTAAAGGTTCTGCATATGTACAAATAGCAGAATCACAGAAAGGTTTGGGTTGGAAGGGGCCTTAAAGCTCAGCTCATTCCAACCCCCTGCCATGGGCAGGGACACCTTCCACTGGACCAGGGTACTCAGCCTGACCTCAAACACCTCCAAATTACAGAATATGACCCTCTTGAATTTGCTGCATCGATGTGACTCCTTTGAGCCACAGGTAAAAGAGAAAATCATTTTAAAGCAAAGAAATGCCCCCAAAAGTCCCAGCTGTGTCAGCAGTTGTCACAACAGGATCTGGGCTTGGGAAAAAGAGGGTTATGGTTCAATTCCTCAGCTGCAGCATTACATCAGGATTTGCCTGGAACTTATATTAGCTGACAAAATTTTTCAAACCTTTTTCTTTTTTAGGTTTATTAACCTTAAAAAATGCTTACATAAGTGGAAACAGAATGAAACCATGATGAACATAAAGACAGCCAATAGCCCATTAAATTGAAAGAAAGGTCCAGCTCTTTTGCCTAATTTAGCCCACGAATACCTGCCTGCTTTTTCAGGGGTCACAGAATTAACAGCTCTTTAAATGACTAAGTTTTGCAGTTTGGACTGTTCCTTATAAGCCAGAACAGATAATTTTGATTTTTTCACAGGAAATTTGATGAAAGTGATCCCCTTAAAGCCTTTTGTTTATATCCACAAACTACTTTGTATATATATATATATATATGAGCAAATTAAATTTTTGAAGTGTAAAATGTGTGGGTGTAATATATACCTATTTTGTATAAAGTACCTTGCATTCTCAACTACATGAAGTAAAAAAAGAATACAACGTTTATTTATTTTTTTACATAGAACAATCTTTCCAGGTTTTCAGGTAACAGAGATGTCAAGGGGATACTCTGCTCCTATAATGGTCAACAAGAAACAAGCTCATTATTTTTCTTTTGGGAAAATAAGGATGAAAGCTCTATCTAAGATAATTTGTAGGCTATGAGTCATTCACTAAAATTGTTTATTTGTTTATATATTCTTAAATTTTAATAGCTGAGATGAAAGAGCAGACAGCAAAATGTAGGGTAATTCTTAGTCATTAGTCAGGTTTTATGCCTCTCAGATGGCATATGTTAAGAGATAAAATTGTGATTTGATTTTTTCCAAAAATACACAGAGATTAACAAGAGGCTAAGAACTTCAGGAAGAAATAGGGGGTCAAATTTAGTGAAAAGTTTAGCACTGTGTCCTCTCTTGGCCTCAAAAATCTCAGTGTGATGGTTTGTTGAGTGGGAAATGAATCTTGTCAAAGCAAGTAGGATGTCAGAGCTGTGATATCAAATTTGCTATTAGAAGTGTGGCTGGAAATGTGCTATTGAGGTCTCCCATGTGCTAAAAGAACAGCCTCCCTTGGCGTGGGCAGCAATGTTGTGTAACATTCCGGCTAAAAGTTCACTCTGGAAATCCAGCATAACACAAACTAGAGGGATTAAATATCTATTTATGGCTTATATGGAGACTCCACATCCCATTCTCCATGAGAACCTTCCCAGTTTTCCAGGATCTAATGCTCTTGTTTCTGCCTTTGTGATGGCAAAGAGAAAGAACCAGATGTTTGTCAGTAACTGCTGAAGGTACCACAGAGACACTGGAAGGGTAAACACTGATAAAATTAAACCATCTCTGAAGAAGAATATCCTAGAAGACTCACCACAAACTTGTTTCTTCCAAATAATCATATTTTCTGAAAGTGATTTCAAGACTTGCTAGATTTAATTTGGACATCTTTGGTTTTTACAAATGAAGTAGCTTATAAATCAGTCTCATTAAAGAAAGTATCTTGTCATGAGGAGTAAAATCTAAAATGGAGTTTCTTATGCAGCAGAGTTAAGCAGCCTTATCAGGTTTAGCCACTCTTTATTTTAAAGATTTAAATAAATTTAAAACTTGCTGAAGTGGAATTAGTTTACATTAAGGCAGAAGTCACTTTTACTGCTGATGAAAAATCCAAACAGATGCAGCGAGAGCAGGTTTCTCAAACCTTGTCCAGTCAAGACCTGACCTTCTCCAAGCCAGTGATTCCACAGCCTTGCCAGCCTGTTCCAGTGTTGTATCATCCTCATGGTAAAACTGAAAAATAAAGATTCTTTAACTCAGTTCCAACTTGTGTCCCCTGCTTCTCATCCTCCCACTTTTAGGAAGAGTTTGGCTCCATCTCCTCTTTAGTCCTCCAGATCAGGTAGATGTAGAGAGCAATATCCTCTAAACTTTGTAGATTTTTAACTTTGGGGTTTTAGGGGGAGGACTGGGGGTGGTGTTTATGTTTACCTCACCCAAAGCTCTTCATTAGCATTCAGGAATCTTGGAACTGATTTCTCTGAACAAAATGTTCTTCCTTGTTGCTGGGGGCTCTAAGCTTGGGTTTTGACAGCACAAGGTGATGCAGAATTACTGAAAGGGTAATAAATCAGCAGTACAATGTACCAATTAGATTAATTAGACTGCAAGATGTGATGGAATAACCACGGTACATGGAGCTGTGAAGCTCTGACCTCCCTCCTGAGACACAGGCACACCAGCAATTGAGGCTTCTGACATTGAAGGCTCTGTGTGTGTGCACAGCTCCACAGATCCCCACCCTGCTTGTCTCTCTTTATCTTGTCAGTCACTCCCTTGAAGCAGAATTCTTGCTGGACTAATTACAAAGTTCCTGTTAGTTCACTAAGCTCATTTTTCTCCATAAATTGGCAATATGAGCCCTGGCTTGTGTCTTTTCTCAGTTAGGCTGTGGCTTGGTTTTTATTGGATCAGGAGCTGGCTGAAGATGGGGCATTTAAGTTTAAAAGCTCCTCCCGTTCATGCTCTCAGTTTCAACACTTCTTTCATGTCACTGGGACTAAAAAGAGGTCCTGGTAAATATTTCAGGTACTGAATAGACACCCTTTATGCTGATGTTCAGTGTTCAATTCTGTCCACAAACTCTGGAATAAAATAAAAGCATTGAGGGAGAAAACAATGCTATGTATAATGGCTTTCATATATATTTGTTCAATTTAGATTTGCAAATGTTAATCGACCACCATTCCTTCCAGTATGTTCAAATTTTATGAGCCTCACACTGGAGTAAACCTTCTATTTGAATTATCATGCAAACGTCATGTATTTGTTTCCAGCAAACATTAATTACCCTTTCTGCTCTTTTTTCCAGGGAATGTATATCAAATCAACGTATGATGGACTCCATGTAATCACAGGAACAACTGAAAATGTAAGATTCTTTATTGTAAAATACTTTTATCATGCATACAATTATTTTCTGGGTATGTGCAGTGCATTTTGTAACACGAAAACTTGCTTTTAATCAAGCCAGTTCTTATTAATAATTTTTCTTTTTTTAATGTACACATATTACTTCTGTAAAAACTGTAACCCTTGAAAACAGACGTAGAAAAGTGTCTATGTTGAAATTACCTATAAATACCAATATAATAATATTAAATTCTTGAACTTCTCTCCCCAAGGATTCTTCAAATCCACCTCTAATTGTATTCATGCCCACGTTCTCCCTGGCACAAATGGTTTCTGTTGTATTAAATAAATTGTATTTTATGTTTGCCATCGTTTGTAGTAAAAACGCAGGCGCGATCAAGAAAAAAGCATTAATGATCATTTTTATTGTGAGACAAATCTGAACCAAAAGCACCCATAGATCAGTGTGAGTGATCACAGCAAAACTGAACAGTGTGACAAGAGGAACGACGGAGCTTCTAAATATCCTCCCCGTTACTTAACGTGCAACTCATAATTAGAAACGTGAAAAAAATAAATTGACTTCAACTGCTGCAATCTAATTACTGTGACAGGCTTCATAACAAGGCCCTTCTGGTTCTCATCTAAGCTTTTAGTCACACTGTTGTCGTTCAGGCTCGGAGCTGTTTAACAGGGGAGAGCCGGGGAAACGACAAGTTTAGGTTTTATACAGCTAATATTGTAAAATTCTCCACTGCTGACACCCAGGGAACGTGAAACAGGCACTGGGCAGGTGGGCAAAAATGGAAATCCTGGCTGGCCCATGTGGGTGAGCTGCATGTGACATGTTTTGTCCTCCTTGACTTCTGTATGTTGAACAGTATTGCATCATATGGGCTTTGTCAGTGCAAACCCATGGGAAGCCTCGTGATTTGTCTGTCACAATTTGGGAAGACAATTCTAATGCAAATCAAACTTAAAATTTGTTTGCTTGTTTATATTGTCACCACTGGCAACATTTAGAAGTCTTTAAATAGCTGCATGTGTATCATGAGTCCTGGAAATTATGAATGATCCATCTTGATTATGTTGGACAGATTATGTTCATAGAGTGAATTACTCATGCTGTAATTAATCCAGTTTTTTACTGTAATTCTAATTAATTTCAGAAATATAATGTAGTTGGTAGGGAAAATATTTGTATCTTTATAATTGAAATTCACAGGAAGAGTTACTAAATTGCCAGCCACTAAAATTTTTATTTTAATTTTGACTACCCAAACTTTTTGATAGGACACCATCAGAAGTTCCTTTTTTTGTTTTTGCTGGAAATGTAATCACATGTGCAGATAAACCAGCTTCAAAGACCTTTAATTTCTGGTGTTTCAGCAAATTGATTTTTCATTCCTTTTGAAGGGATAATTGACCTCAGAGCCAGTGTTTAATTAGCTCAGCCTCATCCAAGTCAGGAAAGGAGCTAAAAAGAGAAAGAACCAGGTCTTCGCTTTTCTGCCTCATGTCAGCTGAAGTTAAAGAGCAGGACTGGTGGTGTTCACTGCAGGTTCCTGCTCACCTTACTCACCATTTAAAGCAATCAAGTTGGTATTGATGTTGAATTCTAGAAATATTCCTGTTACATGTTTAGTCCCGTGCAGAAGAGCAGTCAGCCAGAATCCTGCCAGGTCCCACTGAAAGGAGAAAGTGACTGTGAGCCGGGTGATTCTTCACATCATCCTATAAAATGTGCGGGTGAAATCCTGTTTCCTTTAGTGCAGAAGGACTCAGGTGGCAGGAGGTGACTCCAATGACCAGGGCTTGGCTCCAAACTGGAATGACCAAAGCCCTTCTGAAAGGCCAAGCTGGTGAGGAGCTTGTGTTGGGCACAGGGAGGTCAGGAATGGCAAACAAGCAGCAGGCCAAAGGGAAAAGCTGTACTTGGAACAGCACCTATGACACCCTTGGAATCGCTGTGTCAGCCACTGGCTCTTTGCCCTGTTGGCTGGGGTTTTCCTGAGTGAACAATGCCTGAGGTTTCCTGCTCTCCACAGCTGTGCCCTCTGCAGTGCCTGTTCACCAGGCAGCAGGTGCCACTGTCCCCGAGCTCTTTGACCCCCTCAGAGAGGAGTCTCTTTGCGTTTAATTCAGAAATCACTGCAGTCATGTTCTTCCCGGTGGTAATTTGGGGGTTTTGTTGTATTGTCTCCTCTTGTCTTTGTTCCTTTTATTTGTTTATCTTATGTTTTTAATCTGCATCCACAAAAGGGATGGGTGGGATTTTGGGTTGAAGGCAGTGCAGCTGAGGAGCTCTTGCCTGTTTCCTGGGAGTCAGGATCAGCACACACTGAGGTCGTGACTGTGAGTGTCTGCACATCACATTTACTTCAGATAAATCTTTCCTTCCTTGGCATTGACACCTGGCTCTTGTGCTTATTGTGTTTAACAATTTATGTTATATGCTGGCTCCAAAAGATATCCAGGCACTCAACTAAATTTTAGTAGCATAACTCCTTTCTGTGAGTAACAACTTCAACAGCATTAGACCCAGGCCATTCTCTGAAGCTGCAAGTGGCTCTTTTTCTGCTTTTCTTCTTTACCTGGACAGAGAATTTGAACTGTTATTCAAAGAGCATTTTGCTTTGAATGTTTCTGCACTGTTTGAGAAGGGACAGTGTGTCCTCCCCTCTCTCTGACCCCATATCCAGCAAGTAAACGTTCAACCTTGTCTACTGCTCTACTTCATTAGTAGCTAATTTCCAGTGGGATTTATCTCTCAAGGTGATGTCTCAGCTCTTTAATTCTTCCCTGGTTGTTTTCTCTTGACTGCCAAGTTGTGTACTCTGTGTCAGTAGAACACTCTTGTGAGCTCATCACAGTGCCAGCAAATTGCCTTGAATTCTTGGCTCTCTGCTCCTGAGTGTCGCTGCTGATCCCCTGCACGCCCTGACTGCTCCTCTCCTGAATGCCCTACGAATTTGTCCTACACATTTAAGAGCTGGTTTCATTAAAGCATCTAAAAATTAGTTGTTAAATAGCAGTTGGCCATGTTCGAGTGCTCTTCAATGGCTTTTAATCCACTTTAATGTGATCAGAAGGAGCTATATTTAGAATAAGGGAGTTTTGTCAGCTCAGTGATCCCAAAATTATGTGAATAGTGTATATGGAATAGTGTGTGTGTACATCAAATCTCTTGAAGAGCAAGTCTATTGCTGACATTATCCATCTGTGTCCAAATGGTGAATCTGCTGTCCTGGTGGTGCTGGAGCTGTGTTTGAAGGTACAAATACTCTGCACTTGCTGAGTACCCTCAGTGCAGTAAAACTGCTCTATAAAGGACAGACCTGCTTTTCTGTTCCACCATGGCTGGTCCAGCCCTGTCATTGTTGACTTTAAAGATTTCCTTCTATGGAATGTAAATTCACCCAGTGTATCCCCAGCAAGACTGGAACTCCTCAGGTAAACAAGATGGAATAGTTCCACCAGTCAAAAATGGCAGTGGAATTCTAGATTACTTCATTGAATGTGACCAGGAAAAAAATTGTTCCTTATAAATAGAGTTTTCATAAATATGACCAATTATTTCACAGCAATAAGACTTTCAGCACAGCTTTCTTGCCTTCAGCATTCATTGTTTTAATTCTTGCTCTTTTACTTCCCCCTCCACACTCCCCATGTAAAGTTAATTATTCTCTTTTGTCCTTAGTCTCCTGCTGACCAGTGTAAGAAAATCCATGCTGGTGATGAGGTGATCCAGGTCAACCATCAAACTGTGGTAAGTATTTTGGAAATTCTGTCCTGCAGGCTTTGCCTGTTCCCACTGCTGAAAAGGTAATAATTCTTCTTGGAAGGTAACTTTGCCCAACTATATTATTATTTATGTCCTTTAAAACTTCATATCCACTGCTTGTGCTTAAAGGCACAAGTTGAGTCTGTTACCAGCCCAGAAGGATTAAGCCAAATTTCCATTTTGCACAGCTGCTGTTCAACATCTTACTCTTTATATAAGGAGATCCCAGAATATTTCCTTGAATTTCTTAGACTTCTCATTATGCATGTGCCAGCTGGTTTAACTTTTCCTCTTAATCAGAATTTTTACATTCTGTTTAATGCAGGAGTCAGATAAATAATGCAGAAGTGCTGTAACCACCGTGTATTCAAATCTGTTGGGGGGAAAATGTAAAAATTATTAAAGTGTTGATAGGAATCTGTCAGTTTTAGGTCTGTGATTCTTTCAAGGGGATTTATTTTTAAGATGCACATAAGCACATGTATACAGAAGTGTATGCTGAGCCTCAGGTATTGCAATATAATATTTCAATACGTTTAAACATGTCCACTGTTACATTCCTTTCACAACCGTGAGCTGTATTGTGTACTGCAGGTAGAGAAAAATATATTTATTAATTTATTAATAATTTATTGTTTGTATAGATCAAATTATTTGTAATTGAGCTCTAGAGACCTCTCAGAGTGCCTCTCTAAGAGTCTCACCCAAGGCTGAATTATTGTATTTTTCCTCCTGTTTTGTGATGACACAAGCTGCTCCTTTATAACTAATGTTGGTTCCAAAGTTGATGATTACTGGAAAAAAATGCAGTCAAATTTTGTCCTGTGCTGTCTGAAGTCATAGAGACTGTGCCTTTTAAAGCAAATAACTCTGTGCTGCAGAAGAATGGGAGCAATGCTGCTGGAGCTACAGGTGAAAGGAACACTGGCATTTATTCCTTCTTAGGCACGAGCAGCATTGTGACAATGACCACGATAACTTCCTAATAAACTTCTAATTGAGCCATTTAGCTTTGTCCTGCTGAACCCCATCTCCAGACAGAGCAGCTTAAAAAATTAAGAAATCTCTTTCTGTCTGTCACTTGTGTGAAGTGGAAATATGAAAGACTGACTATTAAAATCTTATGATTAGAGAGCAAATATTTTCCCTTGAAAAGAAGTATAACTTATTCATTTATACTTTAAATGTTAATGCAACACACAGCTCTTATCTGTATGAAAGAGGGTTCTAGGAGTTGTCATAGTTACAAGTTGAAATATGTATTAGACTGACTTTCTCCATTAAACACACTCTTCAAGAGACAGATCTGATTTAATCTTTACTCCCATAGGTGAAATCCCCACATTCAGCTACTCAGGAATTGACTTTTTGGACAGTGACTCTTTCCATGGCTGTTATTACAACAGGTTCAAGGTGGTGGATACTTGTAATCCCTTTCCAGATAAGGACACAGGAGCAACAACTGAGTCAAGTGGCATAAAATACTCTTTTTTCTAGAAGACCCATAATATATTAGTTAATCATTCTTAAGTTTATAACAGGCTAAGGAAGAGATAAACAGCACCGTGTTTCTTTTGGAAATTCATTCTTCCTTTGACGTGGCTGGAAAAGCCTCATTTTGTCTACCCTGGGACTTTGGAAAGACAGACTAATACTGAGAGTTTGCATGTTTCAGAGGTGTCTGTCCAATCCTCTTTCCCTCATGGATTAGAATTGTTAATATTTTAAATACCCCTTAGATCTTCATGTGTGTCCTTCAAGTCACTTCTGGGACACCTTGCTGCAAACTCCACTTAGCTGCATTCCTCCTTCACCCAAGTTATCCCACTGTGATGATCAATATTATGCTTATAATTAGCATTATTTCCATTAGTGGACTGGGATAATTCAAAGGCAGCAGCTCATTAAATTCCCACACAATCAATATTTTAATATTAGCAAGACCAGCTCATAAAAAGAGGTGAAAGCCAATTGTAATTAATGACTGGGGGCTCAGCTGAGGAAGAGAGCTTGCATATCTCTGGAGTTCTTACAGATTTTCCAGAAAAGATTTTATCTTTGTTATCCTAACAAAGACCTTTTTATAATACTGATGTTTCTTTGGCATTTTGGTAGTCTACCAGATATGAATCTCATTCAACACAACATGTATTGAAAGAACCTGTTCTGAAGATGATTACGTAGAGTAATTTTTTTATTGCTGCTAATGAAAATACTTCCCCGAGTAGAGAAAATATGGAACCTCTTTTAATAGGTTCCAATCTTATAGCTGATTATTGGCATCATTTAAGCTGATTTTGACTGAACTAGGCCAATGTATTTTCTAGGTAAATTCTTATTCACTCATTTAATATGATCATTCGAGTTTTAAAACTTTCATTGATGTTCCCACAACCTGTAATAAATTGTTCCGGTAGTTAATTATTCTCATTGCTGGGGGAAAAAAGTCATTTTATTTGTAGTCTATATTTGTCTGGCACAAGCTTCCAGTCCTTTGATCTTGATATATTTTTATCTATTAAATTGCAGGAGAGCAGGTTTCTCTTTTAGGTATTTTCAGGATGCAATCCAATTAGCTCATCACTTTTTTTAGTAAGCTGGATAATTTGAGCACTTCCAGTTTGTCATCCTAATGCATGACCCTCCTCAGCAACCTCTTTAAATTGCCAACTGTAAACCCCTCCATTTTTAACACAGAGTTGTGGAGCTGCCCAGTGGAAGGGCTCATTCCTGGATAGGGCAGGACTTGGTGCTGAAATAGCTCCTGAAATATGCTCCTTTTATATAAAATGTTATCTTTATTGAGAAATATCAGATAGTTAGGAGGTAGTTCTATTTATACTCTTTTTTTCTGTTACATTAACAAATAAAATATTAACAAAAACAGGACTTTTATAAGTTTTGCTTTACTTTTCAAATAGCTTTTCAACGGAGTTGAGAGTTAAAAAGAGTTCAGAAAGTATCAAAGGAAAGCTGCTTCCAAATTATATAATGCAACAATTGAAAGAGTTAGAAATAAAAGACTTACTACGTGGAATCTGGTCTAACCAAGGAACACTCTGTAATATAATTATAAAGATCAAAGAAAAAATAATAGTACTTAAAGCAAGAAATTAATTAAATCAGGCGATTCACCACTGGCTGTTAAGATCATTTAATCATTATCCAATTTCCTTATTTGCTTTTCTGCTTGTTCTTCTTGCTTCTAAGATTTTAATAAAAAAGCATAAGAAACTTTAAAAATAAGTCATACATTCTAAATTCCTACCACCCTGACTCTTTGTTTTTCCCTACAATAACAACAGGCACTATTTCTGCCTGTGCATTGTGGATTTTTATTTCCTCTCTCATAAAAATTATACAGAAGTGCCGAAGATGCCACTATGGCATCTCTTTGTTTGCAAAATTCACAATTACAACTCGGGTTCCTTGGATGGGATATTTTCTACTGTTTGGTTGAAATAGTAAATTTGATTATTTTTCAGCATAGATTTATGAAAATTTAGTTGTGTTGATGTTCCACTTTTGATGATTTGTCAGACAACAGAAGCATTGGAGATCCAAACAAGTATTGATTTAACCACCTGACCATCTGTAGAATGGTTTCTTCTTTAGAAAGATCTTCTATACTTCTGTATAGAAAAGTGCTTGGTAAACTAGGGAAAACTGACTTTTCTCTGTCTTTTTTTCTTCTTTTTTCTTTTTTTTTTTCCTGAGGGTTGGGATTTGAAGGTTATTTCATAGGACAGAGAGCAATAATAATGCTCTTAGTAATTCCTGTTGAAAGGTGGATGTTACTTAGGAGCAACTGGCAAGACTCCAGGAGCCAAAGTACAGTAATTAATCCCAAACCAGCTGAGCACCAGAGAGCTGATGGGACTGAAAATGGCAAAGATGAACTTGGAATTAATCAGGAACAGGTTTCCAGGAGAAACTGAGTTTTGATACCATTGTCTTGACATTAGTAATATCTGGTCTGAAACACTGTGTGATCTGCAGGTCATTTACAGTCCTCAAAGGTGTTAAGTTAGATATGAGCACTACAAAAATGTAATGGGTAAAAGAGAAAATGTGTCATCTGTCTCATAGGAAGAGAAATTATTTAAGGATTTCAGTTTGGATAACCCAGCCAGTGAGGTCTGAGACAGAATTTCTTTCTCTTAACAGATGGAGACTATAAAGACCAGAAAGAGAAATAACTCTTTATGGTATAAAAGATTGTGCAAGAGCAAACAGTCATAGAAATATCTGTAATAAATGTGCTGTGTTACATGTTTCTTATGTTCTCTTTATATAGCTAAAGAGAACAGTTTAATTAAAATAGTTGCATTTTCTCACTGGGCGAAGTTTTTCCCTGAACTGATGGATGTTGTGCTTTCGGTGCTTGAAGAAAGATGGGGACAGGTGTTTTAGTAGGGCCTGTTGTAGTGGGACAAGGGGCAAAGGCTTTGTACTGAAAAGGGGGAGATTTAGACCAGACATAAGGAAGGAATTCCTGGCTGTGAGGGTGGGGAGGCCCTGGCACAGGTTGCCCAGAGAAGCTGTGGCTGCCCCATCCCTGGAAGTGTCCAAGGCCAGGTTGGACGGGGCTTGGAGCAACCTGGGCTGGTGGAAGGTGTCCCTGCCCATGGCAGGGGGTGGGAATGGATGACCTTTAAATGTCCCTTTCAACCTAGAATATTCTGTGATTCTAAATACATCATCCAGCAGCCCTTTTATACCATTCATTGTCAAATTACATCCTTGAAATTAAGTGTGTCAAGAGGCTGTCACAATGAAATAATTTCAGCACTAATTTATTGGAGTTAAGATAGTTATTGAATTAATACCCTCAGTGTATGGTTGTTGAATTGTAAATTTGAGCTCTCACCCTAATGAGAGCTCATTTTAGGTGGAGGTAAATCTGTAAATGTGGTGCCAGGTCACACCATCTGTGTTTCAGCACACTGGGTGTTGTGAAACACAAACAGAAAAAAAGAAAGGACAAAAGATGTCATGAGAATTACAGCTTCTTTCCCCAAAAGATGTCCTTCTGTTTCCAAACAAAGTGCCACATGTTACTTTTTCTCCAGATTCTGCCTTTCAAAAAGGCTTAGTAAAGCAAGTCTTCCAGTAGCACATCTCGCTGCTGCTTGGATTCTTGCCGTGTTGCTCCATTAGTTAATGAAAATAACTATGTAAGATAATGGGAGAACATTTGGTTTTCCACCATCAATTATTGTTGGGAACAGACAGAATATTAATAAGGGTGAATCAGCTACAGGTGTTAATGATGAGCTTCCCCTTCAGTGACAGAAAAGTCTTATGATCTTCCAGCAAATTTTTGGCTAATAATAATTCCTGATTTCCATGTTAATCAAACCAGTTCCCTTGATTAATTCCCTAAAGATACAAAGTGAATTACAGACTTAAAATAAGAAAGGATGATAGTCTGCTTCCTTAACAAAAAAGTTGAGTTTACACAAGTTGCTGGTTTGGGGTTTTTTTAATGCAAAAAAGAAAAGAGGTCAAATTTTGGAGGTTTGAGTAAACATCCAGATGGCTTTGCTTATGTATTTGAAGAGTCTTGAGGGGAAACATCTGTCCTGGTTCATGGAAGGGGTTACTGCAGTCAGAGCAGAATTCCTTGTTTTCAGGTGCTGTGCAATATCATAGGAGCTGAATATTTAGGAAATATTCTGCACAATTGATTTCCAGACCAAATGCCTAACGAGGGAGCTTTTAAATTCCTGTTAGTTTAAATTCCTCTGTCTCTCTCCACCCCAGGTGAGATTAAAGCTGGCAGGTAATACAGTGAACACAACAGGCACAAGTCTCCCAAACAAATGAAGGTGTAACCTGCCTTCCCTCTGGGAGGTGCTCTGAGTGAACTTTTCATTCTTCAGGGTCCTCATAGGGTTTGGTAAGGCACTGAAGGAACTCAGGAACCACATCCCTGCCTTGTCCCCAGGATTCTGAGGGAAAGCAGAGGAAGGAACAGATGTCCTCTATCCACTCTGCACCCCTGGTTCCACCACCTGAGCTAAATCTCCCTTCTAAATTTGTGCCCTAACAAATATGTACAACGTATTTTGGGATTGGTGTGGAGGGGAGTAACAGCTGGGGTGGTTTAGAGCCCTGGAATCCTGTGATAAACATCACCATGTTCACCAGTTCAGCTGCTTTTTCAGTTCCTTTTAGTAGATAAGTGTATCATGCACTTCATGCCTCTGCAGTCACCCCCAAATGCACCAGCCTGCCTTTTCTTCAGGCCTTTTTTGTGTGTCTGTAACATTAGGAATTTTTGGCATTAGTTTGTTTTTCATACAAATCCTCAGTGAGTCATCACTGGCCAGGTAGACTTTATTTCTAAGAAGGAGAAAAGATGCTTGCCCAGCACGAACAGAGTTTGGATTTACAAAAATGCTGAAATCCCTGTTGCTGGTAATGCACATCCCAAATCCCATCCATGCAAATCCAGATCTTCTGAATGGGAAGGAACAAAGTCATTATGGAGAGAATCTAAAGAAGATATTGGAGAACTAGGAAACACTTTTTTACTGTTGGTTAATGAAAGTGAGTTGTGTTTTTCTGAAGATAATAGTTATGCAGTCCCAGCTACAAAATTATCAGGTTTAAGAACACAAAATTATCAGGTTTAGGTATAGAAAATTATCAGGTTTAGTTCTATAAAATTACCACAGCATTTAGGACTTTTCTGGTAAAGAAACTTACTATTGGAGGGATCAATATTTTTGGAACTATCATTTTTGAAGTTGATATATTCTTAATTTTCCACTTTATTTCTATGAGAAAACTAACAAATTCTTTAATATAGATAGAAGTACATAGGGGTTTTTCTTTTCCCTAGAACCCTTCTTTCCACACTGAGGATGTACAAACGAATTAAAATTAATGATTAGAGCAATCCTAAGAGTAAACCAGCAAAATTTTAAACTTCTGCCTGTCTGACGATTTTCAGTGAGTTCTTTGACATTCTTCTGGGTTTATTCCATATTTAGCATCTAAATTAGCATCCAATTTCGTTTAGGCAGGAAAATAAAAAAGAAAGTATCGTATTAGTCTTTTTCTCATTAGTCAAATTTTAATTTATCTTTCATTGCTGAAATATTTTAACCCATGTTGTAGCATCTGATTGACTGAATGTTTGTGCCAAAAATCTTAAAGGAGCAAAATACCTTTTTGGTGAATCCATCTCACCATAGCTGGAAGTTGGTAATTGCTTTAAAGACTGATTCTTTAAGAGCAAATGTCAAAATCTGTCTCAAGGACTGGTTTTCAACTGAGATTTTTAATCCACTGTAATGGCTTCTTTTTTTCCAAAAGTATTTTTAGTAATACAATTTATAATAACATGTCCAAATTCCTAAGAGCATTTTATCATCACCCAGTAGTAATGACTGCAGACTCTTCTCTAATAGATCTTGGGATTTAATGGTTTTGTCATTAAGGTTCTCATTGGAATAATTTATCATTAACTTAATTATTTATCACTCTTTTCTAAAAAGAGCTCATGGAACTCTAAAAGATTTCAGCAATCTGAAAATTACAGCAATCTATAAAAATCAAAAGGAGTTCCTTTCCATTTCTAGAATTGAGTAAAAGGAAAAAAAATAGAGAGAGCCTCTGTCCTTTTCCAGACACAGCACAGACTGGAGGAGTGTTTGGGATCCAAGCTGACAGCCTTGATTTGTTTGGCTGTTACCTGTCTATAATTACTGCTGGTTTCTGGTTTCCTGTGGCCAGAGCATTTTTAGAAAGTTTTCGATAGAACTGCAGCATTAAAAATAGAATAGAACTTTAAAAAGCTGTTAAAATCCTTCTCAGAATGGTGACAGATCTTGCAGTTCTGCCCAGGGTGGATGTTCCCAGTTGGGATCCTGGCTCTGGCCAGGTCAGAACCCTGCAGTCTGTGTCCCAACTTCTCTTCAGCCCTTACAAGAGGATTTTAATTAAAATCCCTTCGGGGTTGTCTGTATTATTTTCCCTCCACCTTTATGTGTAATCAGATATTTTCTTCCATTAAGAGGAAGTAATTATAAACTATACCTATATAATTATAAACTATACCTATATATAGCTATATCTCTCTATATATAACATGGGGATATAAGCAAACTGCTCTGTTTCTGAGCACCTAAATATTTTATTTTCTTGGTTTTTAATAGCAGTGGGAATACATATTTTAGTCAGGAGGCTAAATTTATGATTGACTCGTTAATTTTAGCAAAAAAAAAAAGAAAAAAAAGGTTCTAGTGAACTCTGAGAGGTCAAACACAGCCAAAAACACAGCAGATACAACAGCACTGACTGGCATAAATTTGTACAGTTCCTGCTCTGGATTTTCGAAGATTTCTGTTCTGAAATTTGCACTTTAAGGCTGCTGCAATTGCCCTCAGGAAGGTTGTGTCTGGAAAACTGCTGTGTGGATGCAGCATTCCCATTCCTGCTCAACACCAGGGCTTAGGACTTGTGATGGCCATAACATTTATGGCAGGTTCTTTACTGTGGCCATTTATTACCACTGTAAAAATCTGCCATGTCTGGGATAGGAAAGGGAGGGGGGAAAAAAGGAAAGCCCTAAAAATATTTTTTCTGTTTTCATGTGTAAATAATTCATGGTAAATTAATATTTGAGTAATCGAGAAGATTAAGAAATGTCTCTAAGTAGAGTTTTTCCCTTTCAGTACCAGTGATGTCCTTTTTTATGGCTCTGTTTGCAATTAATAATAAGTTGATGACTCAGTTGTGTCCAGGGGCTGTATAGAAAAATCAATAAATGTCTATTTATCTCCATTTAGGGTCTTACAGCTGTTACATACATGTTACATATGTTGTTGTAACATGACTTGTAATCCTCATCTTATGTTTTGAAATGCTCAGTGATCTCACAAATGATCAAAAGGGAAACAGTGTTCATTTCTGCCTTATTTTATTGAGAAACAGAACTAAAAAGATTATAAAAATCCAGCTTCAGCAGCATCATTTCAGTCCAACAGGAGGAATCAGACAGAGTTTATAAAAACTGCTTATGTTTGCAAAGAGAGGCTGTAATAGGCCTTTTTGGTTAACAGAAGATTTTCTTCACAGTTCAAGTTAAACAGAAGTTTTTCAAAATTCAATGATGGAATTTTTCCTTAGGTTGGCTGGCAGTTAAAGAACCTGGTAAATGCACTGTGGGAAGACCCAAATGGAGTGATATTAACCTTGAAAAAGCGTCCTCAGAACACCCTGGTCTCTGCTCCTGCCCTTCTGAAGAATGTCAGGTGGAAGCCTCTTGCGCTGCAGGTAAGGCAGCTGTTGGAACACTGGTGTCGTGGTAAATCCTTTATTCCTGAGAAAACACTGGAATTTTTCCTTCCAGTGAAAGGAACAAGAGCCTGTCCCAAATTCCTTTGAAACAGGGTGCTGAGATAAGTATGTGTGGCAATGCTGTGTGTGTCATTCAGGTTGTTTTCTCCATGTTTTGGTGGCATTTGGAGCCAAAAGAATTCATAGAAGGAAAGAATATTAACAGATGATGTTCCGAGGAACAAGATTCAGCAGCTGCTTTGGCAGAGGAAGCAGTGCCTCCCTGTTTCCACTATTTCAGTCTGTCAAAACTACTTGTTTTATAATCAAGTGTGTCAGATCTATTAAATTTCAGGAGAATTCTGCTTCTGTTGCACACCCATCATCAAGCTGAGATTTTGGTAGCAGTGCTAATGGAACCTCTGGTATTTCCTATGTGCTCCTTGAAAACCTGTTGGTACCACAAAAAAAGATAATTGTGAACATTATAGCTGGTTTTTCCTGCAGCATCAACAATATGTAGAAACTGGGTGAAACCCTGAACTAAAAATGTCAAGGTTAAAGGAAAGGTTTTTCAGTAAGTCAGTAAGTCCTCGTGGTTGTCATTAATGCCATGTAACACTTACATATTGTGGAAGTTTCTCAGAGCTGTTTTGTTTGGATCAAACAACACATGAACGTGTTTCTGAATGATTTTTCAATTTATGAAAAAAAACAAAGCCCTCAAGCCTATCCAGGCAGATTTCCTCCCTGCCTGGCACTTCCTAAATCTTTCATTCCTCAAAGTGCCTAAATCCTACGCAGTGGCTTTACTAAAGGAGTTTGTGTAATCCTTGTAGGAATTCTCAGGAATGCTGACACTGGGATTTAGGGCCACCTCTCCTCTCTCTGTGCCTGCCTCTGGGGGAGAGGAACGGGGCCCTGTGACACCCGGGGGGATTTTTCTGTCACAATGCTGCAGCAATGACATCCTTTGCTCTGCCAAGATCACGATGTCTCTACTCGGGAACCTCATATGGTGCCTCGAGGGGCAGCAAAGTGGTAATTGCATTTGCACAGGGCTTCCATGGAGATCCTCCCTTTATATTCATACATTAAAGAGTCATAATTCCCAAGCAGAACTAGTTCTGGAAGCTTTGTCAGTGTGAGAACAGTCTGTACTGTAAAGATGGCACAGCATTGTTCACAAGGCACGCCAACCTTCAGTGTAGTAGCCAGAAAAGTAAAAGTGCATCAAGCTGTTTTTGTGGAATTACCAACAGTTCTGGTTTTGTGACGTGTCCTCTCCTGATCACCCAGATTGGAAAAGCCCCTGAGGATCAAAGAGTGCTTTCAGTGTCCTCCCTACCGGGATATATTTCTTCTATACCAGACAGTAGCGTGGGGAGGGATTTAAATAAAAATATAAATCACTTTGGAAAATAAAAAGAGCATTGTTAGTGTTACTTCTTAACAGTAGATTTTGTAATAAGATGTTGTAAGCCAACTTTAGGTCTTTTTTAGCATCTTTAGATCTTTTATTCTTCCTGCCGCAGAGACAAGCTCGAGTGTTCGGGTCTGGATCTGTTTCAGGACGCAGGTTTTGGGTTTGCCTGTTTCCTACAGCTCTCACCTGGATCTAGTGTTGGTTATTATTGTCAGTAATGACTTGGAACTAGCAGGATTGAATTTCAAGATGGTTCTATAGCCTGTGCTTCCTGGACAGCTGACACAACAGCTTGTTGCTGCTGGAAGCAGTGAGCTCACTTCCCTCTCCTGTTGGCTCAGAGTGCCCTCGCCTTTGCTCGACTTTGGCATTTTTTTAGACCCCCTAGATCAGTTTAATTTGTTCAATTGGTAGGAAGGTTTCTGATTTTTTGGTTTTTTTGCTTTTTTTCTGGAGTTTTCTACCACTAATGGATTAAATTGGCTCTCACTGAACAGGCGCTGTCGGAGGTCGTTGACAGACTTTGGGGAATAAGCAGAATTCACTCAGCACAGACAGGAGGTTTATCCTGACACAAAAGTAGCATGTGCAATGACTAGCAAAGCAAATCTGTAGAAAAATACCTCAGTGAAAGTAGATCAAAACTGCAAACAATTCAGCGGATGTCAGACTGTCCCAGAAAAGGATAATGTTATATTTCATGGTGTGTTACCTGTATGGATCCACAGATATTGCTCTGCATTGTTATTTCATGATGCACTCCATTTATCTGTGCGTCCACGTGCAGAGAAATGTTTCCATTCTGGTGTAGTGCTGGCAAAAAAACAAAACAAAAGCAATACATAGCTAGGGAAGGCAGAAAGGAAACAGGATTTAGGAACTTGAAATTCAGAGGCCAGGAATAATATTTGCTACCTTAGGTTGATGCACAGCAGGAATTTTTAAATTAAAGATGTCATGTTTTCTATTGTTGCTGAAGGCACTTGGAGATGTTATTAATATTTCCTCCACAATAATTATGTTTAAAATTATACCACGTCGTTAATTTATGCATTATTGATGACACAGAATCTGTGAATCCTTATCAAATGTATTTCTTGGTCTTCTTGTAGTATTCCTTTGCTGTGTAGTCTCCCTTGATGCTTAATTACCAACAGCAGGGCAGTAACATTTGCCAAAGTTTTGTGCTGCATTATCTTTCAGTGACACACATCAGTGACACCACTTTCTCCTTTTGTCTCTAGTCGGCATTATGTGATATTAGAAGACTATTTGAATTTTTAACCTCTGTGATTATCTTCCCACTTAAGAAAAAATGGTTCTTTCGTCTGCAATGACAAATTGTTCTCTGTTTTTTGAGTGAGCACACCAGCAACTGCGTTCCAATAAAATACAACATTTCTTGGATTTTTTTCTTTTTATTTGCAGAAAGTTTCCAATTGGAATAATCCTTCCTGTCACAACTACTTGATGCAGAAATTACACTGTTTATGATTTAGCTTGAGACACAGCATCTGGCAGATATGAGTAGAAAAGCTTATGTCAATGGTGACAGTTTTATAATTCTTCTGACGTGTTAGAAAATACATGTCATGCTCTGCAACTTTATAAGTAGCATCAGAATAAGTTTTGTTTAAGTAGCTCATTTCAGATTTTGGAAAGTATGTAATAAAGTTAGATTTTTAAAAATCTATTGGTTATCTCACTGTTGGGGGCAAATTAAACAGTTGTAGTATTACACAAAACTAATTTCAGTATTTATTTCTAGAAGACTGAAAGCCTTGTAGTTAAAAATATTGTGACTGGTCTTTGCAGCTTTCATCCAAATTTTAGGTCACTGTTTTCCTTCCACCAGTAGAAAAGTGGTTGTATCTATTAAAGCACAATTTTGTAAATAAAAATATCTTCTCTTTCTTGAATATCAACACAGGCTGCACCTTGGTTGAAAAATATTCTTTGTTTCTATCTTTATATCCTGCACAGAATATTCGGTTAAGTCCTTCTAGTCCTTGTCAACCATTGACTTGAGCTTCCCTAGGACATTTGAATCAAAAAATCCTGTTTAATGTCATGTAAAAGTTTAAAAAATAACATTCTGAAAGGACCCTCGCACTTTATTATTACTTTTAGTATTTATGATGCTCACATTTGTTGTTTAGGTTAATTTATATTTCTTTCCTAGTTTCCATAGAACCTGTATTTGTATCACTGTGGTACAATGGTCACGGCTGTGGAAACCAAATTAATAGGAATTCTGTTTCCTTTAAAAAATCAAGGTGTTCTGTCCTTGTTAACAATAAATCTTCCACTGAAACCAACATTATAATTTCATTCAGTACAAGTTTTCCAGAGTTCTTTAATTAATTTTTGTATTAATGGCAGAGTATGTCCTTCCTCCCCATATAATTGATTTTCTGCTTTGGTTAAAAATCATATTTTGCTTGAGTCTCAGATTTTCCCATGAGATGGCTTTTAAATTAATTTAATGGTCTTTTATCAGTTTCTTTCATAACTAGTCTTGAGATCTCTGGTACAACAGTGTTTCAATAAACATCTTTTTAGAGGAAACTTCGGAAATTCAAGAAATGTCTAATCCAAAAAAAAAAGAGGTTGAGATTCCTAAAACTATACAGATTGACTCTGTTGTTACTTGTAGCACAGAAAACATTAATTTATCCTTGGTTTTTTTCCAGCCTGTGATTCCAACCAGCCCAACAAGCAGCTCTACAACACCCACGAGCACAATGGGCATGTCCTCCAAGATGGACAACTCGGCGCTCCAGGATGTTTTCATCCTGTCTCCTATGTCAGGACTTTATGGCCCCAGGTATTTATGGCCTGATTCATTTTGGGCTTTGAAAAACAAAATGTTACATTTTTGTTTCATTAGATTAATAAAAACCAAACAAACCAAACAGCCCCACAATCAAACTAAATATTTAGTAAAATTAAAGGGCTAGAAATACATTAAGCAGCATATCATTGTTTTGAGTGACTTAATTTTCACTTAGACACAAGCCGAGCAGAACCTGGTTTTAGTCCTAAACAAGGTATTTATACATGTCTTTAATCAGTTTTATTTACTTTCTTGTGTCCACTTGTATTTCATTCTCGAGCATTTCTGCAGAGGAAACTCTTGTCTGCTCAACTTATAAAAATTCCTTATGCTCCCTTTCAGATACTAGAAAATTCCTGAATACCTATGTTTATCTTAGAGTTAAAATGGAGCTTAATGATTATTTAATTCATGCACATTTGTTGAATTACATCAGTTCTATGAAAGTTCTCACATAGAGCATTTCAGTTATGGGATGTTTTATTTGCAGTGTTTGGGAGAGACAGTTGTATGTGTGCATTTTATCATAAAATGGTTAATTTCTCCATCATCTTCTGGTTTGCTCTTTTTAGGGATGAAGTTGGAATAATGTCTTGTGATGACATCAGCAAATTTGGAAAGTCTGGGATGAAAGGCTCTGAGTCTCCAAACTATTTTCTGGAGCACGACAGTGGGAAATACTACACCCTGCTGGAAGGGGAAGGCCACCCCGGGGGCTCTGAGTACGAGAGAAGCAGAGCTGCAGGAGTGAGGAGGAGGGAGAAAACCCCCACCCACGGTGAGCTGCATTTCCTGACCCCTCTTTAACTGGCTAAATTCACAAACTGTGCTGCTAATGCTGCAACACCCCCAAATTTGTCCTTCTTTGTCAGGCCTGTTGGCTCTGAATACCAGACAAAAGCTTATGTGAAGGAATAATCAGTATAATTACACTCTAACATTCAAGATCAGGAGTGGGTTTTTTATACATTTATCCTGCAGTACATACTTCAGTGTTGACTGATAATTAAGTTCCTATCCTTTGGATAGCCAGCATCTTGATTTACTCATTGTCCCTCCCCAGCTCTTGGAGATGTTTCTCAGTGCAATGTTCTGGGCTGTTAAACTTCAATGAAGGGCCTGGAAAGATTCGTGGTGTGAAAGTGTCTCTAAGTTGTCATGCCCTCAAAAATTCAGTGCTGCATTAAATGCAGGAGGAGTTTCCTGCAGTGCATTTATTAGTACTAGAACCATCTTCCAAAATCTTAGAATGGGGACTGCTTAAATATATAAATAGCTACTCAAATAATAATTAACTCTGGTTTATATTGAAATTTCGAGTATGTATAAATCCATATTCAGTGTACAGGTATATAAATATATGTTTGTGTATGAGTATATGGATCTATATAAAAGCTACTCTGAAAAGTGAATTGACAAATTTTGGGTTTGCTTATCTGTTTAAACTGATTTAGTTGGTGTTGGGTGAGTTTGAGAAAAATACTACTGGAATACAGCAGTGTATTTATTCTCCATGTATTTTCAGTGGCTTTATTTTCAAGCAGTAAGATATTTTTGTAAAGCTTGAAGGGTTCAGATAAGAGATGTCTTTTAAAAACTGTAATTATATCTGATTTTGAAAATGTCATTATTTCTGAAGCTCAGAGAAAGCAATCATCATAGAATTCCCTATGGGCAGCTGTTATCTTTTTTTTTACATATATATATATTTATACATATATATATATATATATATAGGAAGCCTACTCTGAGACAAGGGGTTTTTTCCTTTCTCTCATTTTCTTAAAAAAAAAAAAGAGTTCCTAAATTTTTGTCTTTGAAATCTAGGAAAGGGAAAACCTCTCACATGCTCAGAGTAGTAAAGGGAGATGTGCCTGTGAAGAACACAGGTAATAAACTGGTGCTGCAGTTCAATGAAGCAAATCCCAAAGGCAGTTCCTGTTTTTGTATTTTGCTGGATTTATGGTAAAAAATGGCAGAATATCAATTATAAAACTGGCCTGGTAATGTATATATACACAGAACCTTTTCAGAATTGGGAAATTTTAATAACTCTTTGTTACATACAGGATATTTTAGTGACTTCTTCAGCCCTTTACTTGATGCTGTGGCACTGGAGAGTGGGATTCCATCTTCAGACTAGTACTATTCAGATTTTATCTCCCTGTTAAGTGACATTGTTTTATAATAAAATTAGAATGAAAGATAAAGATAAATCTTAACTGTGATTAAAATTGGAGCCAGATGGAGGTATTTGGCTTGCTTTCATAAATTCTTGCTGCATGATGACTTCAAATGTTGGGCGCTCTGCCTGATCCCAGGAATACACAAGAGTTTGCTTTTGTTTGTGATGGACAGCTCCGATTTTCTGGAACTTTGAAAATCCAGAAGGAATTTGATTTTAAAATATGAACCAAAGTATAACAGGGGAAAATCTCAGTAGTCTACATGTTACCCCTTCAATTTTCAGAAAATCATGTTTATCCAGAGGAATAATTGTCATATATACCTGTTTGTTCTTAAATCCTCCTAACATTTTAGTAACTAAAAAGCTGTATTTTGGAAGAATGGTGACTCAAAAACTATATTAGCATACAAATAATCCACAAGAAATACCTTGACACTGTAATAAACCCGGTGAAATTGATAATGAGAATGAAAATGTTATTCACATTTAAATTCCATAATTATCCATAAACAAAACAGTTAAAAACTCATTTAAAAAAATTTGCTTGAGTGTTAAAATAACAGACTCAATTTCCCTGGCTTTACAAGTCAGAAGGAATTTAACCCACGATCTGGAAGGTGTCTCTCTGTGATGCAGATGCTTTCTGGGCAGTTCTTGGGTGCTCCTGGTTTGCTGCCATCAGTGCTCTCCTGATACCCCACTAGGGAATGACAAAGTCTCATTAGGATCTTATGGCCATAGTGCCCTAAAATCCTACTAATTAAAACCCTAATGGCTGAATCTTCTTTGTTGTGGTTGTTGTTACCAAACTATGCTCCATATTTTCTTTTTAAGCCAGTTGAAATTAATGTTCCTCGAAATGAGATCCCCTCATTACTCACCATGTGATTTTCCGGGTCAGGTTTTACTGTTTCACTGATAGATCTGTGATGTTTTATCTACATTAACAGTCTCTCTAGTTTTCCTAAAGGATATTAGTCCACTTAAAAACTGCTTCTCTCTTTATTCCAAAAAAAAACCCCTGTTTAATGAGCGAGCAATAAAAGAAATTATTAAATTATTAAAAATAAATTTGCAATCTGTTTACATTCACAACTACTTTCACCAAAGTCCTTCCCCTCAGGTCAGAGTGCTGAAGAGGAGAACCCAGTACACGTGGGGTTTAACTGACCCTGGATGCTGCAGCTCCAAGAATGGATTGCTCTGGAGGGTCATGCCATGCTTGGAATTTACTGGCATTACTGGCTCTACAGCCTTCTATTTCTAGTCTTTAAAAATGATATTGTTTTTTTCTTGACTTGTTTCCAGGAGATTTAAGGCCTGTTTCGATGCCCACTGAGTACAGCTGGATAGGGGAGTCCAAAGAACAGAACATGTACAAGAGGGGGAGCAGAGGTGAGTATTTTTATTTTCTCTGCTGTTCTCTGACATTTTTTTCCTTTTTTAACATAAAGAGCATCACAGGAACCAAATCTGTTCTTCTGAATGCCCCCAAGAATATGAAAGAACCTGTTTAGTGCTTTTGTGTTTCCATTTCTGAAAATTAAAAAGTTTATATTAGTAAGAGGAATTAAATTCTAATATAAAGAATGACAAACATCAAGGAAAAAAGACTTAGAGGACTCTAAGGAAGGAGATATGTTAATTGTAATCAGTTTTAAGTCTTCACAGTTTTAGAAAACAATAAGTGATGTTACAGATATAGCATCCTTTGAAGACACATTTTGATTAGTGTGAATGAAAATTTGGAAGAAGAATCAGCAATTGCACTGTCATTGTTCAGACCAGCAGTTCTAGTCATATAAACTTCTACTGATTCCAGTGGGAATTATCAACTTTGCAAGAACCATGGTGATAGCAAACTTCCTTTTTTCCTTTATTTCCTCTGATATAAAACAATTAGGTAAATCAAAAGAATATTCATCAAATATACAAACATTTATTGTGATGCCAATTGCTAAAGGTTCTTAAATACTATTTTTTTGGAACCTTTAAGGCCCAGTCTGGTAGCTGAGAGCTCAACTTGACTCCTTTAAATGTGACAAAAACAATGATATTCTTGAAAATCAATATGGGATTTTAAACTTCTTTTTCAGTACTCTTCCATTCCAAGAGGAAATAAATTTCATTTAAGGCACAAGCCTTTTCTGATTTATTCCAAATCTGTTGATTTACATTTAGTTTCTATTTCAGTGTTACAGATTCCTTTCCTCAGGCTTCCCGCCTGGCCGGGTCCCATTTTGAAACTGTGCCCAAGTACACTGCACATCTCCCTAAGACCATTATTCCAGTTTGTCAAGTTCCCTGACATGACAATCCTGGTCTCTGGAGCAGTGCCAGAGATGCTCCCTGCATGACACAGTTAAGGAATCCTGTCTGTGTGCACTCCATGTCCCCTCAGATGGCAGGGGGTGGTGTCAGTACACGTGGGACCCAGTCCAGGGCAGTCCCCCCCAATTCCCTTGACATTCACATGGTTCTTTCCAAGTTTAAAAGCACCGAGTTGATGGTCCTTGGCCAACCAAAAGGCTTCTCTGTTTGTTTCCTCTTCCCAATCTTTCTTTTCTCTGTTTTTCTCCCCCTCCGACAACTGACTCTGAGAATTCCCTGCTGCGGTACCTGAGCGACGACAAGATCCTGGTGATCCAAGAGGAGCCTTTGACGCAGAAGGACAACAAAAGGGACACAGGGCGCAGGTCAAGGAAAAAGGGCAAACCCCCAGGGAATCCCAGCTACCCCATCAACCCCTCCGTGCTCACATCCACCATGAACGTGAGGCTGGAGCCTGCCCAGCAGGACGTCCTCAACTTCTCCCTGGCAGAGAACAACACAGTTCCACTTTATCATGTAAGTGCCTCAACCAACCTCTGTTCCATAAACTACATGGAAAACACTCCATTTTTAGGATTGATGCAGCTATACATTCCACTTTGTCTTTTAATGCTGTATTTTATAGTCCAAGGGAGTTGCTCAGTGCCAGTGTCGTGACTTTCTCTTTAGAAGAGTCAAAACAAAACAGAAAAATACAAGGCAAGGATCATTTTTTATCAGATGGTTTAATAAAGTAGTTCTCTTAATTACTCAGTCTCACTGATTTAGTTTAATTTGACTGTATTATCTCTGAAGGTTCATAACAATCCTGTACTGAGCCTCCGATAATAATTTATTATAGATTAGTTTAGAAGCTTTATATTTCCACTTTGATGACTATGTCTTATAAGAACAGATGAGCTTAATGGAGTTACTGTTTATTTAAATTTATTTATTTAAATTGTGGAGATTTAAATCTCTTACAGAGATTATCAGTACCACAAAGTCAAAGCAAAGGATTTCAAACCCAGAGAGAAAAGCAGTAACTCATTTACTAGGATAAATGAGAAAATTATTAGACAAGTCTGCAACAAAACCCAACAATATTTCATAACTTGCTGGATGTATCAGCTGGCTTTAGTCAATTTTTGGAAGACTCTGAATTATCTGTTGATTCCCCTAACTTCTGAAGAAAGGGAAATGGGTCTTGTGGGGTAAGATGCTAATTACACCCTGGATTTCAGAACTGAACTTGTATTTTCTTGCATGATTTCCACACCATCATGCAACTAGTTGAAACAGCCATGATGAATTAGCAGGATGATATCGTCTGATAGCATAATAAATATTAAAAAATACCCCAATGACATAATATGTCAACTCTAAAAGGTGTGAAGGAAGTGCAGGAAACTGGAAAACAGGTGTTGTTATGGGAAGAGACAACTTTATGTGTGGTTGTTGGTCCACCCTACACGTCAGTGCAGCTGCTGTCCCATAAAATCTGCTATAATGGGCAGTAACTGTGGAGGAGGGCACATGGAAAATGATTATTCCTGGACTGACAGAGTGGTATTAATTCCTTTATCACCATAAATTTTCCAACAACATTAAAACAGACCCTTGCAGCCCTTCAGGAGATAATCACAGGAATCAGAATATCTCAGGCACTTCGTCAACTGCCTTTTGAATGCTCGAGAGGAACTGAGTCGACAAACACACGAGAGTTGCTGACACAGATTTTTTGGGTTCTTGCCAGCACAGAATCATCCACATTAACGTCTTTCCACTTGCAACATTGAAAGAATTCTGAAAAGCAAAGCAAAAATATTTGGCATATCTATCCTGAAAGAGAGTGAAAATGGTAAATATCACAGAACATTTCATGGCAGCTTGGTATCAAGAAGGAAGAGAAAAGTGTCAAAGATGTTGTGTTCTTAGGTAGAAATTTAGGTTTTAAGTAGGTCAGCTCACTTCCTTAATATCTAAAGGTGTTGCCAGGATTTTCATAAGCATTTTAATATATTTGCTTATTTGGATAAGGAGATTTTATTCTGTCAAGAATCCATTTTACAACAAGACTAGGGTTAATCAAAACAAGATACCTTTAAACATTACCCAACCAAATCATCTTAAAACAGCTTTTGCTACATTTGTATTAGAAAACTTGACAAAACTGGTTTAGGGGTTTTTGTTGTTTTTTTTTTTTTTTTACATTTGCATTTGTTCTGGGTTTTTTAATGGAAGTCAAAATTGTGTTAGAATCACATTTCCATGAATTCCTCTCCACTTAACAGATGCCCAGTACAACTTCTGGGTGTAGATCAACATATCTTGTAAGCAAACAAGGATGACTTGATGGCAGGAGAAAGTGAGCATCACTTAGCCATGGCTTCATTTTCTAAGCACTTCCATAAATATATAACAAAAAAAAAAAAAAAAGGCACTTATTTAACAGTAGTTTAAATTACCAGACGTAAGAAGTTTTGCAAAATTGGTAATTGCAGAGATTCACCACTAGATTAATGCTTTGCAAGGAATGTTGATTTGGAACCTAAAATTAAACAATTAGCCTGATTTCATAAGTTGCTGTGAGGATGCAGAGTTCCTATATAAAATGGATATTTAGGTAATGCAATATTGGCAGTATGCCCAGGATCCAAACTGATGCATGAAGCCATGTTGCAGTAAAATATTCCTGTCAAGAAACACTGCCCCCTTTCAGGATGTATTTCTAACTCTAATTGAATTGATATGCAGCTCTGTGATGCATGTCACAGAACCTGAGCAAGAGTCAATTACAATTAGCAAGGCTGTTATAAATAATTAATAATTAATAGAGTGCTTCTTAGAACATGACTTTCTATGTTTACTAATGCTTCACTTCTGGGGTGACAGAGCTCACCAGGTTCAGCCTAAATAGTGAGGTACCTGTGAAGATCACAAAGGTATATCCACTATAGTTTTGTTGAAAGGCACTATTGGAATAAACTCTGGGCCTACAAGAGGAGAGTTAAAATCTGAACATGCTTTTGTTTTATATTACCAGAGTTCATTCTGAAGAAAATTAACTTATCACGTAGGACTTCTGCACATTAGACCAGATGTACATGAGGAATTTTTCATTTTTCATTTCTCCCTGTGAAACAAAACACAGAAAGTCTTGAAAAAAATCTTCATGATTTTAAAAAAATATAGCAAATTGTGCACTTTCTGCTGCTTGGTTCCATTTTGCACCGTGGGAACAATCTTCCATCTAAAAAGACTATTGAATTTCTTATTCCAGATCCAGGCTGGAAATCCACTTGGTGTTCAAATTTGTGGTTTTGTCTCAGATTTGCACGAGTTTCTGAAGCTCTGGAGTTCAATTTGCTGGTTTCTACATTAAATTTTCCAATAGGATAATGACCTCTCATCTGGTTTTACTTGGCAATAAATGTTCTGGGCCTGTTATCTACAAAGTAATTGGATACTTTGCTTTGTAGTATCATATATTAAGAAACTGGAGTATAGATTGGAATCTCCTAATTTTATTTTATTTTATTGTGAATTAGAATTCACTGTGTAGAAAGACCTAATTATTAATGAATTTTAAGATCAATTCTTTCATTCCAATGTTCCCTACATAGTAAAAGAGAAATAATGGCTGCTTTAGGGTAGTCATCCAGAGTGCTGTGCCAGTAGTCACTTTTTATTATAAAGGTAATTTGAAGCTTTATAGTAGTTTAGGGTTAGTCATTGCTACACAGCACTGGCTTAACCTGCTTTTTATTTCCTTCTTGCTGCTGACAGGAAGCTGGAAATGCATCCCTTTAGCACGGGGTGATGGAAATGCTCTTTAACTGCTCCTGGAGCTGCAGAGGCAGCTTTGACAAATGATATAAAGTTTAATGGCACATGCTGAGAACTAAAACGTGTGCAAAACCAATGCAGAGCTGGTTTTCCTGCAGCGTGGGCATGCTGGGATGTGCCAGATGTTCCAGATGCTTTTTTGGGAGATAGGCAGTCTGAGTGCTAGTGTGATAAGTATATTAATTCAGATAGTCTGGGAGAATCATGTATTCAGCTCCTCTGACTGAAGGGGGAGTCTTTTATTGCCAATTTCGCAGGAAAAATGCTCATGTTTTATTTATTCCTTCCTGCTTTTCCAGGAAGAAACAAAACTGTGCTGTCAGGGATGAGAATTACCTTCTTCAGAGTTTTATTTCCTTTCTGAATTGCTGAATAAATTTTACCTTGGCTTTTTATTTAAGTACCTGTAACATGGAAAACCTTCATTCCCTGCCTTGCATTTCCGCAGGGGAATCACTCTGAGGATGATTGTCTGGATTCTGGCTGCTCAGAGAAACTAATTGAAGTATTTCTGGCTTCTGTAGCTGCAAACTGATTCTGTCCAGCTGTATTGATTGTGAAATGCTATTATTTTGCATTTGTACTGTATCAGAACAGTCACAGGAAAGCTTGAGCTGACAAGTATCTCTCTTAGACTGTGAGGTGGATCCTTGAGGAGCATCATCCAGTAATACATTTCCTTACAGTCCTGTTCAGACATGATTCTCTAAACTGCACTCCTCACTAATCTATAAACAGTTCAAAAGGAAAAAGGTACTTTACGGGACATTTTCCAAATGTTTAGGTTCCCTTGCTGGCTCAGAATTCTCTAAATTGTTAGTTATATTAGGACACTTTACAGCAAAGCAAATATGAGCTGTCTTTATCCAAACATATGCAATGTTTTCATAAGTAATTTTGCTGTATTAGAGCATACTTAAATTATGATATTCTGCAATGTCCAAACAAACTGCTACAAATTACTAATGAAGGTCAGCAAACAAAGCATTTATTAACCTAGTGTACCTTCATGTGTAAATTGCCATTTGTAAAATATTCTTGAGTTCTTGACT